TGACCTACATTTTGAATGTAAAATCATAATCTACAAAGTAACCGGTGACTTCAGCAAATGAATTTAAAAGAGTAAAAGTTCAATATTTCCCAATGAGTTTACATACAATATAAATAGCTCAGAAGGTGCAGTACTTGCATACATGCACTTGCAGAATATTCCACCTCTGCTTATCAACATGTAAATCACTTACTGTAATGAACCAGCAGAAGTCAAATAGCTGTAAAAGTAATCAGTAATCCAATAATGTCTACTCCATAGAAAGCAACGCTCGTTGCTGCTGCTGCACACCTCGGTGAAACAAGTGACTTCATTGTTTTATTCCAGTTCCAGGCTCCAGAGACCTGCTGATGTCACAGTCACTTGTTTTGGGAGTTGTCTCAGGATGCACCGGACGACAACACTCAGAGTTTGGATTGTATCACGGTTTTGAGTCAGCAGAAAAATAAGGGAGCAAAAAATGCAACTTTAAATGCATTGACCGCATTCTTTCCGCTGGTATCCAACGCTCCACGATATCTGTTTTCACCTCCGTCACGAAACACTCTAAATGTTTTTCTTTTACCTTGTTATAGTCATATGTAATTGCTTAAAACAATGATTAGGAAATAAAAAGATTGCATTTTTATTGGTAAAAACATCCGTACGGTTCTTGGATCAGTACAACCCGTTACACACGGACGTATGTGAGCTGCAGCCTGGTTTTGCTGCTGTAACTTTAATCACATGGGTTTGAGGATCAGGTGTCTGCCCTCGGACTATCTCTATTGCACGTTCTATTTTAAGGGAATCCCTTCGGCCTTTTCTTACATCCCAACTGTTTGTACATTTCCTGAGACTCGATGCGATATCCTTCCTCGTGTTTGGCGCGCCATGTTTATGTGATTTGGGCATGTAGTTGTCTTCAGGTGCGACTACGCCTCTGCAGCTAGTGCTTAAAACCTTCCAGCCCATGTGTGCTACAAATGGCGCTTTGTTGTGATGATAGAGTTTGATTTCTTTGTGGAGCACCATCTGTTTGTGCACTCAGGTTAAGGCGGGCTTGCTAATGAGCAAAGGAGAGCTGGTCTGTATGTACAGAATGGCTGACTCGATGCTGCTATGAAACACTGAAATGTGCTTTATAAATAAACGTACCTTCCCTCACTGCAGCTAATGTATGTCTGACAAAGAAGTGGAGGAGTGGGTAGTTTCAAAGATGTGTTTTTGTTTCAACTTCCAGACACCTCATGTCCTTGAATTCAGAAGATTGTTTGTATGAAGTTAATCAGAGACTTTCATCTGAAACGACACAGATGTTGATTAAATCTTCTAACGGGCCGAAGAGCAGAGTGAACGCTCACTCGGAATCCAAACGCATTAGCGGTCATTCATCGGGGGAACGGATGTTTAAGACGAGGACATCTTTTCTTTATAACATGAAAGCACAGACTACGGTGCAAGGATATTGAAAAAGAGCATTAAAGGATAAGGCTGGCAATATTCTCTGTTTTTTTTATCGTCAAGAAATCCCATGCAAAGACGAAAACCAACAAAGAATTGATCCTGTTAAGAAGTATTGTCTGCTGCAGCTCGTTGCTATGTGCCGTAGAGCTCCATTGTTGCTGTTGAAAACACGTCAGAGCCACGCCGTGACATGTGCCCTCATTATCGCGAATGCAGTGTTGTTTATTTTGAGTTTCTCCCGCATTCACTGTTGTAGTGCTGTAGACATGTAGACATGTAGACATGTAGAGCATAAAGTCAATAGTTACTTTTGTTTCACACAGGACAGGAACAGCGGTCTCCTGGGTGAAGGTCCTGTGTTTGTTTGAGCCATCCCCACATGTCCTACCCACTGTTACTGGACTCTCCTGCTTCTTATTTACCTCCTAACTCGCCCTGCATATCGCTCATTGGAATGCTTGCTCTGACAGACATCTTCTTTCAACGTTTCCCAGGTTTGCAGAAAGGTACGATGCCAACACGTTTTTCAATGGGTGCCGTGTGCACACGCGGTTTGTTTAAAACCCGCCCAAAAAATAGAAATGTTGGCAGCGTGGGATGATTATAAGGCCTCAGGAGAGAGATCAGTGACAAGAACGTTGCACTCCGTATGAAAAACACGGGAGATGAAAGAAAGACCTTTTTATGCTTCTAATTGCTTTTATATTTAATTATGTTTAATTAATGTTTCACTAAAAGGTTTTTTGTCGGGCTGTGTAAGTACCGAACATTTGTTCTCATGGAGAAGGTAACAGAAAAAAGCAGTTATACAATAACAAAGATTTTTATTTGAAAGAAGGATGCATCAAGAGGTCGTTTTATAAATGTGTGTGATTGAATTTGTGCTCATTCAAATGACTTTAAAAGAATTCAGTTATTATTTATAGTGAAAATATTTTGTTTCCCCGCCACAAAAAGGGGAATAAATAAGAACAACAACACATTGTGTATTGGCCAAATGATATCAGCTCAGAAGTTCATCAGTGCATCTCTAACGAGATCTTCTTTGAGCAACATTTCCTGAGAACCACGGTGCCCAGCTGACTTCGGAAAAAACAATCTTTTTAGAAATTAAACTAAATATATTTGAGTCGTTATTAAAGATTTACATGAGCAGTAGGAACCAATCAGCTTATGGCTGAGAGCAACAGAGATAGCAGGGTGAGAGTGTGTTTTTTGAATGTGATAAGCAAACAGAATAATACCTTCTGCTTTAATGTAACACTGAGCCCACAAATGTGCTGAAACAGATTTTGATTGCAGCTTGGGGTCGGTGTGCAGGCGCTTCTCTTTCAGTGATAACCTCTGGTGGGCTGCAAACCCAAGGGTCACCATGACACTTCTCTGCGGACCAAAACAAACCCCCCCCCATCATCCCGGCACTTCTGTGACTGAAAGTGAAAGCTCCTCATATCAGCTGGTGTACTTATGATTTCAAAAGAGATTACGCGTTCCCTCTCCGCTCGCAGTTGCGTGCATGTGTTTGTGTCTGTGCATTCAGACGCACGTCTGGCTTCATTTGGCTGTAAGATCCAAGCCCCTGAGCCTTGCCTGGAGATCGCGAGTCAGGTTCAGAGGATTTTCAGTTATCCCGCAGGCCAAGGAGCAGCTTTGCAGGGAAATCATCCGTAAGTCTCCCAGACTGACAGCTGGGCATTTGGCTCAAGACCAAATCTGTAAACAACAACAACGGAGTCTGTAAGATGCAACTTTTTTTGCACTCACGCAGTCAGCAGTCAGCTGCGAGGACATGTGTTGTGCTGCCCGTTCTAACTCCCAACTCGTCAAAAGGTCAGCCTGGTGGCTCTACGGGTCAAACTGTGACGCTCTACACGGCCGTAGTTCTGACGGGATGAGAGGAGGAGAGAGAAATCAAGTCCGCGTTGGATGGGTGGGTCCAAAAACACAGGACCTTCACCCAGAAGACCGGTGCCTGTGTCCTGCATGACACCAAAAGTCCATGCTGACTTATTTAGAGTTACGTTACATAACGTTATTACGCTGCTTTCGTAACTTAGCCTACTTAACTAGATTATGTGGTGCTATGTTACATTAAGTTACTCTACTACATCACGGACGTAACATACGTAACGTAGCCTCTTACTACGTAAGCATGACTTCAATTGTTGTTGCCAGAACCTAACCATGTAATTTGCGGAAAATGAAATGTGCAAAATTGACGCTAAATTGGTACCAAGCGCGTCAAAGTTGAAACCGTTGGGCCATATTTGACGCCTTCTCTAAGCTGTCAAGGTCTCGTTGTTGTTCACGGTCGTGTAAATGGTGGAATGAATGAAGGACCATTTGGCTTTCGTCAGCACTTTAACCAGAGATGCATCGTACAAGAAATTAAAAAGAAGATGGGAGGATTGAGAGTTATCCTTAAGGGATCAAGAGTGGGACTCGGAAGCCTTTCGACAGATTATGTGAGTGCTGTGCTTGCATAATGACCCCCCGGTTTCCAGCAGTGCTGTGTTAAGATGGCATGCCGCTGTTCTCATTCCCCCAATGAACATCTGCAACTGCAGCTCAGCCATAATTTGAGTCTTGGACTAAACAGCTTGATCCACTTTAGTCACACTTGAAATCAGGATTAGAGAAATCTCTTGGCAAGCGATCTGAGAGCAGCCAAATCAGGTCAGTCGAAATTTCGGTGGGACGCCCAAAAGGAGAACGAGCTCATGCTGTCAGCTCCGCTGTGCTCTTGTCTAGCAGATGGATGGCCAATTGCCACTCCAGATGTGCTCAGAATCCATCCGAACTCGAAGTAAAGTAGTTTCCAAAAAACAAAAAAAAAGCCCCTCGCACTCAGAGGAGTAAACCGCACGCTGATGGAGAGAGTACGGGGATAATTGTAATCAGGCCGGTGCCAGTTTTCATTATGCTCTCAGATACAGGCCTTAATGCAGCTCTGCACTCAAGTGAAGCCAAAGACACGAGAGGCTGTTTATTGTTCGACTCGCTGCTCTTATTGTGGCGGGCAGGGCGGATCGGGGGTAGATGAGAGTGACAGGTTTAGATCACTGGACTCCTAATCTGTTCCTGCCTGTTGGACGTGATGTAATCTCACACTGTGGGATTAAAAAAAGAACACACACACACACATGCACACACACACGCGTACACAAAAGGGAGCCGTAGTGTTTTCTGTGCTATTTCCAAGGGTCACTGCATGGGTTAATAGACTGTTTGAGGTATCTGAGAACTGGATAAGTGAGTCAGCCCTGTTATTTACCCCCCCTCCCCCCTCCTCCCCCATGTCTTGCTTTAAAACTCCACCGACAGGTAAAGATGCACTTTGAACCAACATGTTTAACTCCTCAAGGATATCTTTTCTATTATGTCCGTCAGCTGAATAAATCCAAGCATGCCGAGCGGTGAAAAGCCCTTTCAGAACCGTTCTTCAAACAAGTCAGATTTGCATGTGAAATACCTTCCATGAACCATACGCAACAAGGAACGAAACCAGCACATCAACATGCTGAAGTTAATGGCCTCTATGTTTTCTTTCACAGATAATTGCAACGGTCCTCTGGTGTCCACGTTGCCACAATCATCCTTTCAGAGCTCCTCTCAGTCCTCGGTCAGTTATGCCGCTCACAACGCCAAACTCAACAGGAGAGATGGTGAGTACAAGCGAGGATTCATTATTTCTACATGCATCAGACACGCACCGCCCTCCTGCTGTATTTGTGTGATGGGTACATGCATTGAGCACATGTTGTTGTTCAGTCGGGCGCCGTTTGATTGTTGTGAAGACGTGAGAAATAGATGGCTGTGTGTGCAAAAATATCAAAATTTCTATTATTTTGACTTCAATTGCGATATGATTTTCGAGGGAATGATCATTGTTGTCATTTTCATTGGAAAGCATATTAAAATGATTATGGTGTTATTTTTGCGGGTAGGTGTACCAAACAAAGATGAGGAGGATATGATACATATATGATATGATATATAGGTCAGTCAGGAAACCACAATATTTACTATGAAATTGATATTTTGACACACATTTTGCCTTCAAAGTAATTGTGCCTACTGCAATTAGAAAATTGCTTTTTTGTAAGATTTTGATTAATTTTGCTCTCCTGGTTCAAACTAAATCACACATTTAATAATAACGCTATACAAATACAGGAGCAGTTGGATGGCAAAGAAAGTGACTAAATCTTGACAGAGCCGGCAGTCACACAGGGATATTCAAAAAGAAGGTTTTATTTACAGAAAACAAGCAATTTACAAATTATGCCACGATGGTCTGGGCCCATAAAGGGGGTCAGCTAAACAGAATGTAACCACGGCGGTGTTAACATAAAGTGATTAGAGCTGAACAGAACAAACTGACCTCATAAAGGGGAACATAAATACTGGCTTTTTGAAACAAAAGGGTAACAAAGACAAACACTGTGACCTCAACTACAAAGACAAGAAAACAAAAGAACCAACAAACTGACATAGTCTAAAGAAATACACTCCCAACCCCCCACCCCCCCCCCCCATGATGTGGCGGCTGCTTTGTACTTGCTGATTGGCACTTCCTGTATTTAAGAGCTCCGCTTTAGGGGGCACATCTTTTTGCTCCTGTCTGACAAGACGTCACTCCGACAGCAGCGTCCTCGGCGCTGGTGACTCAGAGAAATAGAACTCAGAATGACTTACGGCGAACGTAGAAAACGAACTAAAGTGTGAGTGTACACAAGTTAAATAAACATCAAATAAACTACTGCACTGTCAACAATACTAAATACACCGCGAGTATGATGCATGGAACATGGTCGTTTATCTGTTAGCCCCTCCCCTAATCTGCTTTACATATGAGTGCATAGTTAGTGTAACGCGAACGGTTGTGTAGGAAGACTCAAACCACGTCATACATTTTCCAGATAAGAGGTTCTCATTATGAAACACGATACATTGTAATAAAGCAACAATAAATGCTTTGTTTATTCTTAGCAAAGAGGGTCGGGCCAAACAGCGGATGAGCCTGTGGAGCGGGGGTGCGTGTGAATCCAGCAGACGTCGATCTCCTGCTGTTGCTCTGCTGAGGAGGAGGAGGAGGAAGAAGAATTATGTAGTTCATCGTCATTAAAAAATGCTAATGTCAACCTTTCGTCTGCATTTGAAATGTATATGTTCCCACCAGGTCTACCGGCATCGAAACAGGAAGATAGTGGTGAAGTAGTCCAGCCTGCCTGGGCCAAGCGTGACATTTGACGCAGTGGTGCGACTCCACGCCTGCCGCTAAACTGAATATTTCTTTACTTTTATTCGCGTCTAAAACTGATAGAAAAACGCGAAAAGTTGTCCTGCTCAGGGACACATGGACATGGACCGGAGGATCCGGGGGATCGAGACCGACGATCTTCCGATTGGAAGACGACCTCTGAGCCACAGCCGCTAAACAATGGAAAACAATGGTTAATGCTGAATAGTATTGGTTCAAGACAGAATATCGTCATTATTACTTATATTTAGGATTGGCCCCAGAAAGCTTTCCCTTTTTTACCCCCTTGTCTTATTCACTCCTCTCTAATTAAAGGGAACAACTACAGCACCAATGAGCCGTGGACATGCTAACAAGACAACTTTTTAAAGATTGTGGAAAAGGTGCTAAAATATTACTAGCAGGTGTATTTTTTAGATGATATGAACAGAAAAGGCCCAGTTTCATTGATTCATTTCAGTTTTCCAGAGAGACATGATGACAGACACACTTGATATTGCGGAGAGGAAGCTTGTGGAACAGAGGTAAACGTGTTGAGCTAGCAGCATTCTGCTCTTCATCAGTTCTTGAGCCCGGCTGTACACATTTCAAAATGAATCGGCTATTTTCCAAGAAGTGAGGTGTCTGACCTCCACGCTGTCGGCTGGAGTGTAACTTCACCATGAAGCAAACCCTCCCTGCATGTATTCACATCAGGACTTTTTTTTGCAATTTGAGCGGTGACTTAGCATAAAGCACACCGGTCCACGGTTCATTCTATCCATATCCACAGTATCGATGTTTGACGGACCCCCCTCTGCCTGTATTTCTCTGCCCCCCCTTCAGGAGCAGGAGGCTGGTCTCCCGTTGTGACCGAACAAGAGCCCTGGCTCCAGGTGGACCTCAGGGAGCAGATGGAGGTGACGGCTGTGGCCACGCAGGGACGTTTTGACAGCTGGGACTGGGTCAGCAGTTACCTCCTGCTCTACAGTGACACGGGCCGAGCCTGGAAACAGTACAGGCACGAGGACGGTGTCGGGGTGAGTCGGCACACGGATGTTTCATTGGATTCGTGACTTTTGACTCACCGTAGGTTTGATGTTAAAGCTAGAGTTGGCAATCTTGAGAAACCAGCAATAGTACGCTAGATTAAAAAATGATCCAATCAATACATTCAGCCCGAATAGAATGATTAAGAACATTACCAAGCCTACCTTTAACAACTGAATCCAAGGACTGATATTATGTTATTGTTTTATTTTGCTTAATTCAACAATCCTGGATGTAAATGTACAGAAACAGAAGAAACAACAGTGTCACTCTCGGCTGTTTTGAATCTACAAATCCCGTCTGTATGAAGCTACAGACGGGATTCAGTTATCCTAGCTTAGCATAACGACAGGGGGAAGCTAGCCCGGCTCTGTTCAGAGCTCACTAATACACTTGTAGCTTTAATCCTTACGCAAACCCAAATATAACAAAGACAACTTGTGTTCTTAAAGGAAATATTTGCAGGGACTAGTTCAACATCTGGTACGACTCCACATTATCCTGCATAGATGTTGTTCAAGCCTGAAGTGAATATATATATATATATAAATATAAAAATATATAAAATATATACAAAATTGCATTACAGGTTAAAGTCTTTGACTCCTGAGTATTCAGCTCAACCCACACACTGTCCAAAGCTATTGCAACAGATGTATTAAATACATACACTCACTAGTGAGGATCACGAGTCTGTTCGAGGCAGCTCCTGTCAGAGTGACACGATCGTCAAACAGCAGTGAGAAATCAACACAATACTCAAATGTTGATATTCAAATTGTACAAATCAGCAGATTATTAATTACAGCACGACTATTCCTGCTCGAATTCCAGGCACAATTAAAAAATGTAAGATCAAAGTAAAATGAAGATAACAAAGTAGCTAATTAATAAAACATACAGGCCCTACCTCCCTACATATTTATCCTCATTAATTAGGTGGGAGTCGGCTACGGTTACGCTTCTTATGCCAACAAACACACTTTATTTTTAACAGCAGCAGAATGAACTGAAAAAAAAACATGAAATTGATGCAAAACTCGACCCGATTCAAGCCCGGGTGAATTGTGAGAAATATTGGTCATGCCCGAACTCACAGAGTCAGAAGCTCTCAGCCACACTAACCGTTTGCCCTCTGCTTCTAACGGCCAATCAACGCCCTCATCTGGCTCCATATTTAACGCGCAGACATGAGAGTGGAAGTTGAGTAATCTCGACGGTTAAGAATTACATTTCCTTCCGTCACGAGAGATGTCGTCACTCTTCCACGCTCCGTTCTCTGTGGAGCTATTGATAGACAGCATTACAGGTGCGGGTCAGATGACACATCCTCTCACTGTTTGACACATCTCGAGGTGCTGGGAGTGTCTGGTGTCAGCGCAATTAAATGCCGTTTTTTTCCGCCCCCCCATGTAATGTCACAACGTGTTATGCCAGCCTGTGCAGGCGCTCGAGGTCGAAGGAAATAGCCTGATGTTGGCACATGTTATTAATCCTTCATTGTGTTCATCCCAGTTATGTCAAAGGCTGCTGACAAGTTGTTTGTGTTTTTATGAGAGTTTTTATCTTTGGCAGTCCAATTAGCGTGAGTGTGTCGTTGCCGACTGGCATGTTGCTGCCGCAGCGTGCTCTTGTATTTTTCATTGTGTTGAAAGGAGAGAGCACAGAGACGTGAGGGTGTACATCATGACTTTATCTTCCTCCATCTTTTTTAAACAAATGTATTAGAGATTTTAAAAAAATTGTTTGCACTTATTATATTTCATTTTTATAAACAAACTAACAAACACAACCAAATTCAAAGCAAAACCAGAAAAAAAGACGACAACAACGAATAAGCCAGACGACTAGAAAGAGATACATTTAAAAAACATGTTTCAGTCTTAATAATGTACATTTTTGCAAATAATTTGCAGCCAAATCAAATTGTTTCCCTCGGTATCCCGGAGGTTGGTTTATGGTGTTTCGCTGGTTACGCTCGTTGTCTTTTTGATTCTTCACAGTTCATTTTGTTTGTACGCCCTCTGGTGTTTCAGAGAATATTGGAACAAACAGCGCAGAGGCTAGGTGCGAGTGTAAACAAAGCTTCAGGGTGTGTAACAATTGAGCCCCAGGTTTCCTGGAAACCACGTGTGTTACCTGGAAGCCTCTGAGACTAGTTCACTAAGCCATCTGGAGAAACAAGGAGCACTGGTAGCTTTTTAACAGGACAGTTCTGACAACTCTGAAACAGGTCGAACCCCTTTAGTCAAGCCAGAATCCCCCCGTCCCACAAGCTCTGTTAAACGTTCATGTTGTTACTGTCACACACACACGGGGTGTGTATTTATCTTTGGGCTGAAAATAGTCCCCAACAAATACTCTAAATACACTGACTCACGATTCAATTATGATTCAATGCACAACGATTTGTTGTATCCTATCCTCAATTTTCTATATTACTGCATATCATCATTTTTCATCAGTTAATACTTTATTAAAAGCAGTCTATAATGTAAAAAGCTGCACATTTTTAATGCCGGTATCTGTGTGAGCCACCTCGGCACATAAACATTACAAAAGTAAAACATAAATCCTTCTGCAAAGCATTAAAAGTGTGAACAATGCAGTGACAAATACAAAATGCATGAATTAGCTGAGCGGCTAGCAGACTTTTCCTCACTCATCGCTCTTCTACTCTCACTTGGTTTAAGTCACTGCATCTCCCAACAGAACAACACTATGTTTGAATCTCAGCTTGAAAGCACCTCTTTTTTCCTGCCTAGCGTTGTTGTTGAATGTCGTCTCTCTGCTCTGAGCTCACGGTGTGTGTTTAAGCTCCGCCCCCGGTGAAACACAGAGAACAGAGAACAGAGGAGAGACAGAGGAGAGAAACAATCGTGACAGTATATGACAGCAATACTCGAGCAAACAAGCCTCACACTGAGCTGAAATGAAACCAAACTCTTCTGTCAATGCATCGATGCAAGAAGATCCACGTCTGCATCGCAATGCATCTCAGCGTTGACAAAAATGTCCACACCTCATAAAACCACAATGCTTTTTCAGAAAACTTCTTAGTCTTCAACAGAAATCGCTTCAACAAATACATTCCCTCCGTTGTTATGGATGCTTAAAATATGACAACAAACAGCACAACACTTAAATCCTGAGCAGAGCATAACGCGGGCCCCTGATGGGCCGGGGGCCTTAAGCAGCAGCTTAGTCTGCTAATGCCTCAGACCAGATTTCATGTACCATCTGGCTAAAACATTTTTTTGTCATATTTCGATATTTAACCAGAGATTAATTTGTGAAGTTCACTGAGACATTTGCTTCATGTGTTCCTCGTGTGGTTATTCATGAGAAGGGAAATGAGGACTTTGTGTATAGATAATATCAACGTGACCTGCAGCTGTAACCTTTTGGAAGTGACCCGTGAGAGAGAGAGAAGAGAGAGGGCTGTAAGAGTTTCACATGTTGAAATGAATATAGCACTCAGCAGTGTATAACACCAGTCAAAACACGCGTCGTCCTCCAAAACCTGTCAAGCATTAAGACCAGGCGTGACGGAGCTTTATATCGACTGATGTGTGCTTAATGCACGCTCACAAAGACGATTTAAGCCCCCCCGTCTCATCTGTGGTGCTCATGTGAACTTGGATTTATCGTATGATTTATATAGTGCAGGATGAATGTCAGCCAATTAGTCCGAAATCTCTCTTATTCTGAAACTCACACTCAAGCTGACTAACTACAGCGTTCACCGAGACCTTTGGCTGAGACTTACTCACATCCGTCTGGCATTTGAACAAGTGAAGCTCCAAGGTAACGGCTCACTGCCAGACACTGAACTGAGAGGGACTAATGAGAGAGCAGCAGCTGCTGATATGACTGCTAGCTCTCAGCCATTCTTAACTAACGGTGAGCCAAATGAGCTCCGCGGAAAAATGAGCTCTGTTAAAAAAAACCAAAAAAATGGGGATGAAGGTACGGAACAAACAGACCCTGAGCCATAGCTTAACCAGTATGGTTAAGTATATATATATATATATATATAGTATAATTCTATGTAGATATCAAATCAGATTTGTGGGTAACTTCCACCGCTCTAGAAAAGAAATCTGAGTTACCAAAATCAATAACAGCCATCCTCTGAGGACATTTAATATATAATATTAAATATTATGGTAAACTGAACCGTATCTATGGACATATCTTGCTCTGCATCGAAGTGTTCAAAGGTCATCTTCACTCTTGAGTTCAAACACTCAAAAACAAGTAAAAACTGAATGCAAATGAAATCCCATGAAGGCTTTAACACGTCTTAAACTGTCTGTTCCTGCAAACAGCCTCCTGTCTGTGGGAGCAGAGCCTTATAAAGTACAAGAGGAACGCGTGAAACAACATGATGTTTCTACTCGACAAGCTGATAATAACCCAATTAGCGAGAGCCAGGGGAGAGAAGATCAGTGGAAATAACTCATGTCTGTGGAAACAATTAGGAGGTGAAATGTGGTCTTTTATCAGCTCATCAACGTCTGTTTTGTTTTTGCTCCATGGTACTTTTAAAGTTAACTCTTTAGAAATGGCAGAGCACCCGTTTTAAATCCCGCTTTAACTTAATTCCCTGTAAAATATTAACAATCCGCTCCGTGGCGAGTGGGCGGGATGCTCTTTGCAAATATTCATAGGTGGGAAGAGGAATGTGTTCTAGCAGGGGGTTCCAGATTACCTTCATTATCCTTGAAAAACCTTTTTCAGAAAATCTATTTTTAATGCGGCTGTGAATAAACGTGTGAAACAAATTCTTGTCCGTGAGGGAGGAAGAATTTGCACATTCATTTCCATGCTTGTTAGCTGTTCAGGTAGATGGGAATCTAACAAGGATTAAAATGGGTCTGCATGACTGATGATTTTATCTGCGTAATTGTGTCTTGTATCATGACTGCGCTTGGAATATTTTACAGCACGATCACAAAGGAAATTCAAACAATCATTTGGTCATTATGTGTATTAAATTGGTGGTTGAATTGGAGTTTTCACCGAGCGGTTCACATCTGTGGTTTTGAGTTAAACATCTTAACAGTTGGGTGGATCGCCGTGACATTGTGTACGGATGTTCAAGGTCCCCAGAGGAAGAATCCCTCTGACGTTGGCGATTGTTGTGATGTCATCACAGCAATAATTTAAGTTTCTCTAAAACTTCCAGCACCAAATGCCCATAAGCCTCAGCTGCATTTTGTGTCTAGTTCAAACTAGCAAATGTTAGCATGCTAACACCCTGCGATAAGGCTGCTTTCACTCCTGTAGTTGCTTTCATCTGGTCTGCACTGAGGGAAAGAATTATACTTTGTTGCATTTTAGTACACAGAGTCAAATACAAGCACAGCAGTTCTCAGAGCTTTTGATCCATGGGAAAATACCAACACTGACGTCCAAACGTGTTGATTTGCATAAACAGGTTATATAAACAGCCCTAGACAGATCTATTATAAGATCGCTTCCTGAACAGATTTCAAAATCAGCAAATGGATTTATGAGTAGATAAGCTTTTGAAATCGTGCTAAAATCACGTATCTGCTCTCATAAAATCCTGTGGTTGGTTCATTTGTTCTCTCACAAACAAACCGCACCAGTCTGCTCGGAAGCGAGACCCACCTTTTCGAGCCGTCTCCGTTTTGGTTGTTTGCTCCACAACAGGGTTCAATTGACAGCTTTCACACCAGCCCAACTAACCAGAGAGACTGTTTCACCTAAACAAACAGGTTGGGTGTGAAAGCACCCTGAGATGTTCAAGGTCAAACTTATACCTCCGACAGTACACATCGTCATGTTAACCTTGCCATTGTGAACAAGGTGCCTGCAATGTTGCTGAACAGAGCCGGAGTGTACACGACACACTTACGAGTAACTTCAAACGTCAAAAACCTAATATATTATGTTGCTGAAGCCAACACAGAAACAAAAAAAGCTACTAGAATGGACAAGGAAAATACATTTGAATTAAACTAAATACCCCTCTGGAACAACAAAATGTATATATGTGTATATATATGTATATTGTGAGATTTAAAGGTGAGGCAACTAATGCGGCTGATCAAGGCAAACTATTCACCATTACTCCTCACCAGCAGGATCAGCATTGAGCCCACTGGGGAATACCCAGGACGGCTCCAGAATCAGCACCCTGGACAGCGCCCGCCATGCTGACGCTAAAGTCGCTGTAAAACGGACGTTAGAGCACCTTTGTCTTCTGTACTTTGACTTATTCACACAGTGAAACAGAACAATTGAGCGGTGTACAGTTATAAAGGGGATTTAAATGAAGTTCTTTGGATTGGATTGGACTGCTAACAAGTGGGCTTTTTCTTGGAGTTTAGCGTAATACGGAGCTACAGAGGACAGCTGGCTCCACACACACACACACACACCTCCCTCACCTGTTGTTACATCAGGAGGACGAGTGGGAGATGAAAGGAAAAAACGTGTCGCTTTAACTTCCGTTTCACTGGGACTTTGCTCTCAGGGCGTCAGTGTGCAGCCTCACAGGGCTGCTAGTTTGGCTGTAGTCTCTTGACAAAACTTAAACCAAGATATCTTAATCAAACCTAAACCCGAAATGTAACAAAAACAGAAAGCATATCCTCTGCTACTTGCTAATAAAAAGAAGACATACAAGGCTTGTTGGTCCTGGTCAGAGGACGTCTGGCCGGCAGACGGGAGGTCAGGGATTGCTCTAGCATTTTCATTGCAAGGTCACATACTTCTAGCTCGCTCACCATGTTGTTCCCTGAGGCTGTTTAACTGGCCAGTGACCTTTTGTAACATACTGTATTCAACGCCGGCAGCAGGATTCATCCCCCAGTGAATTGATTAAAATAAACGTATGCATCTGTGCTGCATGCAACACAAAGGAAAAGTGACACGAGGGAGCTCATCACCGGAGAGGAAGAGTAAAGAGTCTTAATGAATGGGGAGGGAGACTGTTCCACAGTGACAGATGCATGAACAGAAATAATGAAGTCACGGCGGGGTTGTTTATGTGCATAAGGACCGACCTCTGGAAAAGCTTCTCCGCCCCGAGGGCTTTGCTTCATCTCCCGGCTGAAACACACAGGATGTTCCGTTGCAATTTTTTTTTTCCCAGAGAGGAAACAAAAACAAACGTCATACTCGGGACAGCCTCAGTGGTGTTCTTGTACTGGTATCACTCTGGAATACTAATGACTCACGCTGACGTGTGTAAGTGTTGTTGGATAATGAACAGCTAGAATCACTGCAGTGCAGCCTTCATCAGAGTTTGTTTGGTTCATTAGATTTTTCAGATATTCAGCTGGGAGTTGAGTGGAAAGACGGGGTTAATGATTGTAACACAAATAAGAAGGAGTGCAGTTTCACAAGCAATAAACCAAACTGACATGGTTGGATAGTTGAACGGGCCTACCGAGCACAGGCCGAGGGGTCCAACATGTGCAACATGACACTCAAAGATAAAACATACCAACCAGGAAGAGACTCAGAGATGACCTCAGATAAACATAAAATGACTACAAATAGACATAAGAAAACTACAAAAAGACCAAAACAACTACACAGAGATGCAAAACAACTACAAAGAGATGCAAAACAACTACACAGAGATGCAAAACAACTACAAAGAGATGCAAAACAACTACAAAGAGATGCAAAACAACTACAAAGAGATGCAAAACAACTACACAGAGATAAACACAAAGAGACACATAGACTAAAAAAAGGGGCAAAATGACCACAGACAAAAATCACAATAAAATACCAAAGAATAAAAAGAAACACCAAAAAACTACAAAGAGACACAAAACCACAGCGAGATGCGTAACGACTACAAAGAGACTCAAATAATACTACTAAAAGATGCATAAAAACTGCAAATAGACACAAAGAGAACAACCACAAACCACAAACAAAAATAACCATAAAAGAACAAAACAAACCACAGAAAGATGCAGATGAGGCTAAACAACTATACGGTCTGTGTGTCTTGCTCCTATGTGAGGTGGTGGGCCCAGGCCCCCCCCCCCCATGTACTATGCACTAAACAACTACCTTCATTTTGCAATGGCATCCTAAATGAACACACTTTCTTTTCTGCCAACTGGTTTTGGTTATTTAAACTATTATGTTAGTATTTCTGTTCTTTGTAGACGCTGGTTCATGATGGGCAGGGCTCCACTGGGGAAAAAAGATGATGTCATGCCATGTCTCACGTGCTTATGTTTCCAGCACTGCCAGTCAAATCACTTCAAACCACACAGTCCCAATGAAGAAGATCAACCACATTCAGAAAGGCTTTAGATTTTGAATGCGGAACAATCAAATATTCTTCCACTGCAGCGTGTCTCACACAAAGCCTGGAAATAACGAGGCCACGCTCACAGCTCTGTGTCACAAGCACAGCAGCATGCTTTCATCAGCTTGATCCCCTTCTCCCCCTAAAACACACTGATGGCCACATTTCATTTTATTTTGATTGAAAGCATTTGGAAAACGTGAATAAGAAAAAGCGCCATGAATATGTGTGGCTTGTTTTGTTTTTTTCAAGGCCAATAGGTTCCCATATATTTATTTTGCTCTAAAAGCAGTTTTTAGTGGTAAAGTAATACATCTGCTTTGACCGAACGTATAAAACCGAGCGCCATTTGTTCATCCCTCCTGTGCGGACGTGAATAACTGTGCATGTGTAAATAAGCCTCGGCTCACACGCGTGTTGCGATTCAGCCACTAGCCTCCGCTCAAAACGGGGGAAGCGGTGGCATAAATCACAATAACAGCCCCAACAGTCGCGCTGTCGCCTTGATTATCTACCAAGTAGCAGCATCCCGTTGCATTTAATGATGCTTCTGCTTCGCGGCGCTCTGCAGGCAACGGACAGTCGTGTGTGCCGCTGGTAATTGTGTCTCTGCTGTTGCGGAAAGCTGAATTATTGGCATCGTCTGAATGTGTTGAACTGTCCACGGAAGCCTGGAGCTCTGCTGTCAATGATATATATTTCTGTTTCTTTATAGTGGGAGCCCTTATTGATCTGATACGTCACCTGCCTACTATCAGTTATGAAGACGCTGGTAATCAGTCATTTGAGAGGAGAGGTCATTTTGTTAACCCATCTTTCACTCTCTCTCCTCTTTGTTTATGTCCCCTGGCTTTGTGTGGGGCAGAGAGAGAGAGTTGAGGAGGGGTTGGAAGAGAAAAAAGAAGAATGACATCTCACAATTGTACTCAGAGGTTTGTTTAGCTCTGCAGGGAGAAAACACAATACGAGAGCCGTTATTGCCCCCCGGCTGCCTCGGTGGGGAATTTTCCTCCTGCTCGCGTGGAATCTGCTTCAACCGATATTCTCATATTTCTCACCACATCTCATCTCATATTTCCACACCACACGATGATTCTCATCACTTTACATCAAATAGTATGTTCAAGGATAGGAAGAGGACATTGCTCTTGGCCTCGCCGTGTCAGCATTTGGTTGTTGTCTGTGCTATTTGAGGATTTTAGATTTTTTTTTTACTGTGCTGATATTTCAAGTATTCAGCTAAATCAACAGACTGGTAAAAATATTACTATTCACTTTGGATCGGAGGTCATTTTCCCGTTTCTTGGCGGAGCCTTCGGTCACAACCACGATCAATCTTTGTCGCTCTGTTTTCCTGCAGAGATTTGTCGGGAATGTGAATTCGGAGGCCGTTGTCCAGAACAAGCTGTCCCACCCGGTGAGAACGCGTTTCCTGCGCTTCGTCCCTCTCGACTGGAACCCCAGCGGCTGGATGGGCCTCAGAGTGGAGGTGTACGGCTGCTCCTACAGTGAGTAACACACTCTGAAAGCACTCAGTCGACACATCAAAAAAAAAAATCCTCTGTGCTTTACACCACCTAGAAGGATTCCTTCATTTATGCACCTGCAGCTACTCTCTCTTGATGGAGAGTAATGAGGGAGCCATTTTCTCTTCACTTACTTTTAACACGCTGTTTGATACTCCAGACAGCAGCGACATGACTAATCAAGAAGCCGACAGGCCGGGTCTGAAACATATATACAGGGGGATGATCACCACCCAGCAACAAGTACAACAAAGAGTTGAGCGGGGCTCATTTTCTTGATGAATATTGCAGCAAAATACGGAATGATTTGTAATTGAACCCCGATGACCTACAAAAACACAGAGTGGAGCCAGATAAGGTAGAAACATGCCCGACGCAGCTCAGGTCATTACTTTGCTTGTTCTGATTCTGATGTTGTTAATGCTCTCACTCATGCTCGCGGGCCGATTAACACCCAAACTATAATGACTTATCTCTTTGTCTCATGATATGAAATGTTGTTTGTATTCAGAATTGACCAATTTGATTGTAAAAAAACACAAATTGAATACTTAATATCTCAGGATAATATGAGTTTTTACTTGGGAGTCGTATCACTGAATCATTGCTCTTGGCCACGACAGAAGAAGGTGTCCCACGTCACGCACATTTACAAATTAGATGCTAATTAGTATCATACTTCAGATTTAGCCTAAAATGCTGGATTGGGTATCGGTGAGTATGAGTCATTATTATATACTTTATCATTTATGCTACACAGGAACAGCAACAACACTTGTCCCTTGCTCCCCGATACATGCATCCTGCTTAATCGTTACTGAGCATGTGCAAACTACTACAACACACCTGTGGCCAAACACTCTTGTGCACCACAAATCCTTGTTTAAATACTCAGGAGAGCTACTTAGCGTTAGCTGTTAGCTGTTAGTAGCCGGTGGGCAGCACAGTGCTGCTTGGCTAAATAACTGAGCTAACGGCTAACGTTAACGGAGGTTGCATTGAGTTCCATTATGATGCGCTCAAGCTGTCTTCAGTGAGTTGGGCAACAGTGAATTACAATGTTGTGAGGATGTGTTTAAATGCAATATTGTAAAAATGTAGTTTCTAGTGAAAAATAGTTGTTTGAGGGAGATTTTTGTCACAACAATTTACAATATATGTGATAGGGAATTATGTCTGGATCACTTTTTTTGTTTTTAACACACTAGTATCAAATCAATACTTGATAAAAATGACAAAATAAGTACTAAGTGTAACACACACTGCCTAGCTTCAAGTGCTGAAGCACACGCCAGATAGAACAAGTAATCAATATATATGGTAGCTGGCATGTGCCATTTCTGGGAACATTGTCATCGTTTGAAGCAGACAGGTGGATCCAAATGCAGAGACAGCAACAGGCAGGAGACAGAAACTATTTACTCTCAAAGGAACACAACGTAGAGGTACCAGGAAACTCAGGCAGGCCGGTCACAAGGAGCACCGAGGCAGCTTCAACTAAAGACAAACTGACAAAGAACTCAAACAACAGACAGGTATGGACACCCGTGCTGCTAATCACGAGCCGCTGCACAGCTGGAGTGGGCAGGGAACTGGAATGACGGAGGAAATGCTATAACAAGACCACGAGGACTGGCAACAAAAAGGCTGACGAGTCTAGACACTAAACAGGTGTACGAGGGAAGAAATGCAGGGCACGGCTACAGGAACACACAGCACGCACAGGAAACTGACAATAGGAAAAACACAAGGACAAAACCCTGCTCACAGAAAACTGGGTAAATGTTTGAGAGTGGACACAATCATAAACAACAATAGAGAACAACAATAACAAAGATAATGAATTTTTGAAGACAATTATTGTCTGAAAAGATATAAACATAAAAGATTACATTAAAATAATTCTGTCCATGTAATCGTAATGAGATGCTAAAACAAACTGGAAGTCTGTGACACACAGTAACATTTATATGCTGAACAATGCTTTAAAACACATGTAATGAGGATCCACTGACACCTCTCCCACACATGGGGAGGCAGCACTAACTAGATGAGCCGCTGGATCAATGTGCTGGGAAACACTGTGAGAATATCCCACCATAATCACCACACACGGCGTATGCATGTCCAATAAGCAGCAGGTATACAACCCAAGCTGCCTCTCGTACTCCCTGCTCCTCCATTAGTCTATATATTTTGTGGATTCATGCGTCTGCTCATAAACCGCTGAAAATATAGAATGATTCACAATACAACTGATGGATGTCTTATGTTACAGAAACCGCTAATCTGCCGTCGGCAGACCCGAGAAAGGTCACATTGCCGCGCGGCTCTTTCTGCTGCGGGATAATGTATGCAGGAGTGTGTATGCAGGAGTGTGCATGCAGGAGTGTGTCTCTGAAGCAGGATTATATAGAGGTGACACCGGCAACGCCGCCGATCTCAGATCTGTTCTCTGGGACTCCCTGAAATCAATTGTACATGAATGATGAGAGTGACACAGGGAGAGTGTAAAGAGAGCTTCTCATTATGATGACAAGTTTGGGTCCAATACTCTTTTATTTCCTTTCTTTAGATTGAGCTGCACGTCTCCTGTAAAATATCTGTTGTTCGGCTTTTACTCCACTTTTAAAAATACTGGGCTTCTGCTACTTAAACACATTTTTAATTGTTTGATTGCTCCGATGCTGCTGAGGCTGGATGGATTATTGTGGTGTCCAAATTCATTTCATTTAATACATTGCAGCCAGTGGGTATGCTAAGCCTTAGATTAAACGTCATGTCTCTGGGGGACGGGCGGATATCGATCCCCAGAGAATCTTTACTACCGACACTAAATCTTGTAGCTCGCGTCAATGCGATCAATTCCCCCCCCCCGCCCCCCACTCCCCAAAAAAAGACTCCATCTCATTTGAGATGAGACTCTGAACACACTCCTCTTAATGACACACTACTCATTTGTTATTATCCATTCGGGGTTGTCTTGTGTTTTAACATGCATGTCATTTAGTAATTAACAGTTAATAGTAAAATGAATGTTTGGCAGATCATTTGGAAAATGAAGTGGCCCGTTCTGATTGCATTCCGCTCATAAATCAATGCAGACTAAATTATGAGAGCAATTTTCCAGACAGTGACTGGATGGTAACAACATTTAAAAGAATTGTGGGTGACACTTTCTATGTATATAATGCATTATAAACAGGGTAGGACATTTACATATTTTTTTGGGGGCAACTTTTGCCCCCACTGACTGAAATCCAGGGGCATTTTCAAAAAATTGGCAGCACTTTTTGAAACTTGTGAAATAACATTTAACCTTTGTTCAAAATAATAAATATACTTATTTAGGCTTACAGTATATGAGCAATTGTCATCAAATGGCAATAATAAGACTATTAGGCAGTAGTCTACAGATTCAAAGTGTTTTCTTAGATTTTCTTAACAAAAAACAAACATAAAACAGACAATCATACTCAATTTTATTCTTATTTCTTTGTGGTTATTTATTGTTATTATTAAATGTTTTAAACAACTATTAACAATTAAGTCAACGATGCCTTGATTACATATACATCAGTCATTGTATGGAATTATTGAGAAAAAATATTTTTGTAGCGCCTCAAATATTGTGATATTACCCATTTTTGTCCTGAACTTATGCATTAGTCATTGTGTGGAATTTTTGAGAAAAACATTTTTATAGCACCTTAAAAATTTAAAAAATGTGCCATTTGAAGGTACAAATTCAGTTCAGAGTTTTTACTTAGTAAAATATCTTAATTGACTGTCAGTCAGGTATTATTCATTAGCAACCCTCAAATCAAAGAATAAAGACACTTTACGCACAATTTAGGTGTATTTTACCTTTAACTCAGGAGATGCAGGCAGCATGTTTTACACTTAATGTGAATATAATTCATTTAATCTAATTGCCATTATGCAATATGTATACTTTGTTGGCATCTTATTCTGAAAACCGGATGTTCGTCTGAAGAAACCGGATGTTGTCTCACGTTAATCTTTCCGGTAGCTTTCAAAGTCCTTCGCTCGCTCCCGATCTGCGCCGTTTGAACGAGTTTACCGTGAATGTCAGCATAAAGGTGCACTAACATGTGAGTGTCTGCTGAGTTGACCGCAGTCTCGCAGTCACAGGTCTGATGAAGAAGCGCACATTTATTTATTCGTTTAGAAAGTTCGGGGGCATCTTTTGCCCCTCTCCTAGTGATATCAGGGGCAAAATGATATTTCTTAGGGGCAGATTTGCCCTTTGCCCTCGTGTATTTCCGACGCTGATTATAATACTGTATATTACAAACACTCATTATAATTATAATAATAGTGATTATAATGCATTATTAAAATATTATAATGCATTATTAATATACACTATGATTCTTGCATAAAAAATGAATCAAGAATCATGACACTTGAGTATGTAAGTCATTAAAAAATGCTTTTCAATTTGTTCAAATTATTCTCAGAAAATGAAAAAAAAAACATTAATTTGTAAATGTTTATTAAATACATATTCATGAGTACTTATAACTACAATTATACCGTTCTAAAAGCAGATGTTTGTAATGCATTATAGACCTGGGCATCATAGAAAGTGTTACCGAGTAGAGCACATTTTAAATCTCGTAGAACATTTATTTGTATCATTTATTGGAAGTACAGTTTGCAATACTGATTCACGAGGTGCTGTGGTTCTCCTTTAGAATCGTATGTCGCAGACTTTGACGGCAGAAGCTCCTTGCTGTATCGGTTCAACCAGAAGTCCATGTCGACGGTGAAGGACGTGATCTCTCTGCGCTTCAAGAGCCATCAGGCCGAGGGTGTGCTGCTGCACGGAGAGGGGCAGAGAGGAGATTACATCACCCTGGAGCTGCACCGCGGAAGATTGGACCTCTACCTCAACTTAGGTGAACCGCGCTCTCTGAGCCTCTCCCTCTCGAAAAATCTATCGCTTTTTATTTCCACAAGCATTTCGTCTCACAGTCAGGACTGAGAGGTATTACAGCAATGAGGTGGTATACTTACATCTCACCTCAGTTCTAGTGACACAACAATACAAAGACTAAAGATATGTCTTCAAATTGCTGAATTTGTCAGGCCAAAAGATCTATCTTTAAGTCAGATTGCTGTTTTCCAAGCAAATGCATTTCAATCACAACAAGATGAAAAAGAGATAATTAGAAAATGTGCACAGTTGAACAGTTTAAACCAGCAAATGGTTGAGCTATAGCTAACTCTATATCAATGCATTGTAAAGCTGCTCACTGCGTTCCTTGCTGTTTCCTTTGTGCTTCTGCAGACGACAGCAGGCTGAGGTTCAGCAGCGGCCGCGTTGCCGTCACCGTGGGTAGCCTGCTGGATGACCAGCAGTGGCACTCCGTTCACATAGAGCGCTTCAACAAGCAGGTCAACCTCACAGTTGACTCCCACACGCAGCACTTCCACACCAAAGGGGAGGGACACTCACTGGAGGTGGACTACGAGGTGAGTCCACGGGATCATTCAATTACAAAACAGCTTTGTAAACCTGAATATAACTCGTGACGAATTCATCCAGTGAGGTCCAGACAACCCTATCATTAATAACACAGTGATGAGCACAGTGGAGTTAGTAAGGAGCCTTGGAGTACCTCAGTAAACAGAGTCTGTGTACTCACTGTACGCACTCGGGAAACGGCATGTTTGGAAATGACGTCTCTGTTATGAACGATAGAAAAGAGAGAAATGTTGCAGAGGTGAGTTATTTTTATTGTCTCAAAGGAATAACAGACTGCCAGGCTGCACAGACTCTTTTCTGTCGTTGGGTGGACTGGTCAGGTTTAGGCATGAAGAGTGAGATGGGTTCGGGTGAAGGGATTCGTAATAATCTCCTGGGGGCAAGAGGCTGTATTTCTTGGTTTTTCTGGTTTAGCCAGCGGATATCTGGGCCAAGACTTCTTCTTCCGTGTGCTGCTAGTTGTCAGTGACTGGAGTTGGAGTTGAGAGACGATGTGTGCAACCGGATTGTTTCACAAGGAGCCAGTTTACAAGCAGATTTTAAACCATAAGAAGTTAAATCATCATCAGGCGATAGCCGAAAGGTTCCCAGATCCTCTCTTACTCTCCACACGGACTGTTCACCTGCATTCAACCATACCTGCTGGGAAATGTTTGGTCTATACTATTCGGACTACAAATGGAAACCAGAGTGCTTCCGATACCAGAATCCTGTCGACAGATTCTGCACACACCTGCTTTGTTTGTAGAGATTTGAGCTGATCAAATATTGTTGCGACAGACGATTGCCGGCTGGAATCAGAAGCCTGCTGATTTTTTTCTGCCTCATTCTAAAATCAAGAACCCATTGTTTAAAAAATGACTAAGAATGATTCATATTAATTCTGCCGCAGTTATTTTAATCCGCATGAGAATGGAAAGCTAAGGGTGTAATCCTTATAAAATCACCTTCAAAGATGCAGTTTGAATTTGCACAGTTCCAGCCGGTGTTGAAGTACAACATGCATACTTACTCCTGGATTGACCAGCTGTGGGAGCACACTCGACAGCCGTTAGAAAAAGGACATTAATCTGCCGCCTCAATTCTTCTGGGACGGCTTTCAAAAGGATTTTGGAACCTGGCTGCAGGGATTTTCTTCCATTCAGCCACAAGAGCATTAGCGAGGTCCAACACTGATGTTGGGTGATGATGAGGTCTGGCTCACAGTCACAAGTCCCACTTCATCCCAAAGGTGTAATAGGTTCTGTGTAGGCCAGCCAAGTTCCTCCACTCCAAAATCGGTAAAAACCTTTTTCTTTACGGACCGCTCTCTGTGCACGGGGGGCATTGTCAAGGTGAATAAAGGAAAACTTCTTTCCCAAACTGCTGTGGCATTAAGATTTCCCTTAGGTGGAACTAAACAACATGCGCCACACCATGAACAGAATACTGTATGCATAACAGTGGCTCTGCAGTGTATGTTTGGATCCAGTGAGTGGGTGTTGTTCTCTCACTCGCTGAATCACTGACTCAGCTGTGCAACTAGTGAGAATGTGTGTGAGCATGTATTTTGAGACTGTGATGGTTTTAACATACAGTAAAATACAGAACAGAAGGTGAAATTCATATTATGTAAATATTCCCTTTTATGAATATAGCATGAATACAAGAATGTTGTACTTGTTTCTATTGGATCGATTTCTGCATCTAATGCTAAGAGCTCCGCCGCCGCTTTCTCATTCCCTTTCATCAAAGCTGAGTTTCGGAGGCATCCCGCTGCCTGGTAAACCGGGCACCTTTCTGAGGAAGAACTTCCACGGCTGCATGGAAAACCTCTACTACAACGGGATCAACGTCATCGACCTGGCGAAGAGACGCAAGCCACAGATACACAGCGTGGTGAGTGGCATGGAGTTCAGTGCTGTACTAAAAGTACTGTGAAATGTGTCAGATATTATCTGCCAAGTTCTGTCTTGTAAATATCAATATTTTAGTTCTTGAAAATCTGTGAACAATATGTCGGACAATATTCTTTTTTTTTTTTTACAAGAACACACTTAAATGTGATTGTTATACCGCACGGAATGTACCAATATGTACATTTAGCAGGTAAAACATTAAGGCATCTAGTAATTACACATGAATGTAGTGGAATAAAATGTACCATTATTTTAATAGTGATTTTGTTTCTAGATTATCTAATTTGACGATTTATTTTTACTAAGTCAACGTCGACCTGTTGGTCAGCTCCACTGCTGACAAAGATGAATACTCTGAAATCTTCAGCTTTCCACGTGTAGATCCAGGTTGAGTCCATCCTTGAGCTCAGTGTCGTCCTCGCGCTTCCCGTCTAGGAAATACAATTACTGCTTTCAAGAGCTCCGAGGTGTGAGGCGCCACTTCTCCATTTGAAAGGCATCTTACACAACAGTCTCTGTGGTAGTGATGGAAACCGATTTGATGGCGTATGTAAAGAGAGGGAAGAAGAAACAGAATGTGCACAAGAGCACATATATACAACATATATATCAATTTACATATATATTGCATACTCAGTGTGATTCTATGGTTTAGTGGTAAAGTGAGTAGAGCGACAGTGCAGACTGGAGTCTCTGCAAAGGTTGACGACGAGAGGCGGCTGTCTGACGTTCATATACGTCTCCTGTATGACAGGGAGGGGGGGGTTTGTTCCATTAACTCAAGAGGTCGTCTCTCTCCGGGCAGTGGCTGATATATATGATATAAAAACGTTGAGAATTATATAAAAAAGTATGACAGTATGCAGGAACATATTTAAATGCAGCTATTGAGCTGTGGCTTTGTGTAAATGCCCTGTCGATTATTTCAGAAGCATTCATCGCTGTACTACTCTAATCTCGCTAATCTATGCAGTGGGTAGAGCGCGTCGCCTTTCTAACCTCGAGGTTGGCGGTTTGTTCCTCGTCTCCTGCGTGTCCATGAGCGGAAATCTGAACCTCAAGTTTCTCTCCGAGACAGCAGCCCACTGCCTCTAAATGCTCAGTATGGGTTAAATGCAGAGGTCTGACTGTATGTATGTTCCTGTGTGTGTGTGTGTGTGTGTATATATATATATATATATGAAGGTAATAAAGTTAAAGCATGATTATTGAGAGCTAGTTAACTGTTAGCAGCAATTTGAGGCGGATTATTAGGGATTATTAATAATAACATTATGCAACCATTAATAAAGGAGTGTACGTTAAAGTACATGGGATTTATTGTTTGGTTTTTTGTTTCTTACCTTGGTATTACCAGAAAGTTCTGGTATCGTTACACCTAATTGTTCAGATGTTGAACTCAAAGCCACAGATGTTAACCTCATGGTGGTGCGAGAGGAATAGTCAGCAGATCACCAAAGTCATTAGGATACATCCTCTGGGGACCATGAATGTCTGTAAAAGGTGTCATGGCAGTCCGATAGCAATTAAGATATTTCTCTCTGGACTAAAATGGCGGACGGACTATTTCTCCTTGCTGCGTCACATTTTTCTCTTCAGGCATTCTGGTCAGAACCTGGAAGGAGAGAATAACGGTAAAAACAATCATGACATCCATTGTGATCCTAACTACAATGTCATTAAGTCCAAGTGTGTCAATGGATTTGTTTGAATCACCCCCCCACCACCACCACTACACAAATCAGAGAGGTCGGCCAAAGATCCACACGCCACATCTCATCTCAGACACCCTCTGCCTTTAAAGTCTGATTGCTGCGTTAAAAGGCCTTCGCTGACAACAGAAGCAGCGAGGCTGTCATGATGGCAGCTGTAATGGAATTTCAATGGGACTATCTCCCTGAGGTTGATGGGAGAGAATCACATTGAGAGTCAAAGAGCTGTGATTGCTGTGTGCTGCCCTGCAGGCAACGGGACTAATGGGACTCTGACCTTAGCAGACACCGCCGGTCTGTGTTTGAACGTACCTAACACAACCTCTGCACTGCTCAGAATTATGCTGAAATGTAAACTGTAATGTTTGTTTTTGTCTTGGAGGTTCGACCATGTTGGTTTGGAGCAAATAAATGCCATGGGTTCAGCTTGGATCCAGGCTTTTCCACATTTCTGCTTACTTTAGAGTTTAGACAACCTCAGAAAAACACGCGAGGAAAATTTATCTTTATTTAACTCTTTAATTTACAAGGAAGTGCCAAACAACGAGAACAAATGTTTAAAATGAGTTTGTCAACGCTTTGATTGGCTCCATACGAATAGTTCAACATCTTGAGAAATACTGTTGTTCCCTTTTGTTGCTCAGAGTTTGAAGATCGATACTATTTCATATCCACTTTCATATCTGGATGGCAAACATCCGAGCTATCCTAGCTTAGCATAAGGACTGGAAACTGGGGGGAAATGGCTAGCCTGGCTCTTGTCATCCCTGCTAAAGATACTTTGCTTGGGCAGAAGCCTTTGGGACAGCCTTGTGTGTTATTAACGTTAAACGGTTGCAGTTAGGTTCAGACAACATAATCTGCTTGCCCGGGTTTGCAGCATATGAACGGATATCCTCCTCTCTGCTGGGCGGGACAGAAAAATATCATTTGTAATGGGAAAGATTTCTTCACTCCATTAACGGCCTTTGGAGACAAATCCATGGCTTAGCTCCCTTTGATGCACGCGCACTCACACGTCCATGCATTTGCTCACTTGATGAACACAGCCTCTTTTTTTAAATCTGAACTTTTGGTTTCACACGGGACAAGAACTGCGGCCTCCTGGGTGAAAGTCCTGTTTGTTTGGCCCATCAACCCCCCCCACTCCCTCCCGCCCTTAGAAGACGTTCTCGCTCTTCAGACTCCCTCCGTTGCTCTGAGGAGTTTCGGACTTGAAAGCTTGCTGCGTCTCATTCAGAGCCTACAGGTTGCCTCGTGTGTACAAATGTAAAAGCAGTCCTACCAGCACCTCTGAAGCTCACTAAAAGCTTATATTTTGTTTGAGATAAAACATGCCAGCGAGCTTCAGAGGTGCTGTGAGGCTACGTAATGGACAGAAATGAGGGTGGTGTTGACCTTCTCTTCTTATCTCTCGACAAGGAAAACAAATAAGAATATTTCTCTTAAGTGTCAAACTTCCTTTAATCATAATGTTTTCACGTACACAACAAAATGTGGCAGCCCTTTTGGATCATTATTATGAATGATGATAAATTGACAATTGATGACGGATAATTGAATAGCTTGAAGGTTACATTTAATTAGTTTGGGTGGGGTTTCGCTCATGATTCTTTATTTAAACCATCTGTTCCCTTTTGTTGTTTCTATCAACAAGACATTTATTTCCAGACATGTCACAACGAGCCTCCCGTGAGACTAACTTGCTCCAGCATGCAGCGGAAGATCCGTGTGAATCCGTGTCCTTTGGGTTTTCTCGTCCTCCAGGGCAACGTGACCTTCTCGTGCTCGCCGCCCCAGCTGGTGGCCTGCACCTTCCTGAGCTCCAGCAGCAGCTTCCTGTCACTTCCGTCGGCGGCGTCTGCCACGGGGGGCTTCTCCGTCCGCTTACAGTTCAGGACGTGGAACCCGGACGGGCTGCTGCTCTCCGTGCAGCTGAACCCGGAGCCCCACAGGCTGGAGCTGCAGATCAACAGCAGCCGGCTGCAGCTGACCCTCCGCGGCTCGGGACGGGCCAAATCAGAAGTCTCTGCCGGTGAGTTCACAGGAAAGCACACGTGGAAATATGCTTTGAATTTGGTGAGGACCGCAGGACTTCACAAGCTTCTCTCTAGAATCGTTGTGAATATATAAGTATGATTACCGGTAAGTGGATTTGATAATCTCCAAAGATCAGTTCACTTTTGGAACCGCATGTTTGAAATATGAATGGGTGTACTTTATGTTTTAGGGCTGTCCGCATTATGTTATCGGATTGTCCTGGGGAGATTTTCATCACATTTGTCTCAAAAATCCACTTGGCCTCAAGGATGAACTGATTCAAATGTGGTGGTCAAAGGTCACTGTGACTTCACAAGACTCATTTTTGGCCATAATTCAAGAATTAAAATGCTAATGATGACAATATCACACAAATGTCTCTCTAAAGTGCTTAAAATCAGTGTGCAAAACCCCCCCGGTGGCAGTCAGGGGTCACGGTTTTCAATGCTGGACATTAGTAAGCTATTAAAAAGACATTTTAGTGACAATTGCAAGTCACAAATAATTGTCTTGTGATTTCAGAGACCCCCGGAATGTTGCTATTGAGGCTCTCAGGGGGTCTGAGGTGTCAATCAAGGGGTCTCAAAACCCCTTCGACCACACACTGGATAAAATGATGAAGTAGTGACATTTTGGTCAGACATGAATGTAAACCTGAACTCGGCTGGTCTGCAGATTCATTCGGCGGCAATTCTCATTTGGCTTAAAGGTTTTCAGTCATTTTTTGCTCCGTAGCGCTATGGAGCAGTTTATACGTGGCTCCCCCGTTCTCTTTGTGTGGCGTGTCACGAGGGTGATGCGATATACAGTCCTGCCGACGGTTCCTCACTACTAAACCGGTTGCTTTGATCTGCTGCAAAGAGCCAGCAGAGATAGGAAAGTAGAAGACTGCAAGCTAGTGAACACGGATGCTAACAATGCTGGATTTAAAATATAATTTGGAAATGTTTTATGATGAAGGAAATACACTCAATATGCTTCTTAGAGCTGCAGGATACACACTATAGGTGTTAGTGGGTAAAACATACCTTTTGTTTGTTTACCGGAAAATTCCACAGGGCCCCTTTAAGTGAACCACCGACTTTGTTTCCTTCACCTGGCTGCTTGTCTGTGTGCGTCACTCCACTGAGACAGAACGCTCTTCTCACCTCTCTATTTTCTGCCTCCTGGTCTCCTGGTGTCCTATCTCCTCTGTCCTCCTGCCCGTGACCCTGACATCGATCTCATAGCTCCATCTTGAAGGACTCCTAAAATCCTGAAATGCATCTTGAGGAGAGCGGATGTCTTTTTGCCACCTCTGACGTGTAAAAAAAACAGCGAACATCTGATGCAGCTGTTCGTTGTTCTCGGTGACGTTGCTTTAAAATGACGACACCGAGCTAAGGATGCCTCTGCCTGTCGCCTCGACTCCTCGGACTCCTCGCGAGGAGGAGAGCAGTTGAGGAAAGGAATCGAGTATGCACAAACAAATGAGAGGAGGGTATGAAGAAAGACAGTGCTGCACTAATCCACAAAGTGGAGACCGAATACGTTGGCTTGCGCAAGTAATTTCATCTGACTTACTTTTTAACACCTTTGTCCTCAATAAACTAAAAAAAAAAAAAAAAACTTAATTTTCTTGGAGAGGAAAAATCATTCAATCCTCTGTACGGGATTGCTTAACAAATACAACACAGATAACCGTGATTGTTTGGGGAAGCCAGACTTTCAGCAGATGGTGGGCTGCAGGGAAATATAGATGAGAAGACAACCTCAGCCAAGAGACAATATTTCCTTTTATATAATTTACCTCAAGCTGTATTTAATTACCAATCTGCACGGGGGACGAACAGCCTCCGAGCAGCAGCACACGAGGAGTGTGACCTGGCGCCCGCCTCCTATTTGTAATAACAACGTGTAAGGAAACTATTCACTGCAAATTAATTTCGCACAGTGAAGAGTGTGATGTTAGTTTGACATGTAGGAATTGACTTCTCAGTAATTTGGGGTATTTATCTATTTATCAATCCATTTATTTTCACCAGGATTCCTTGTTTGTTTGTTTTCTTCCACCTTGGGTGGATTTTTTTGGAGGTCAGCGCTGAAATTATTATCGAGCAAAAGCTCTGATAGCATCTCGGTTACAAATTTAGGGGGCTCAACCAGCTCCTCGGCACAGAGGTCTGCAACATTTTAAGCGTGCTGAGAGAGATAAGCCCTCGGATGTAGCCAGTAAATGTGATTAAAACGCAGATTTATCCAGAGTGAATGTGCTGCATTAACCACAGACACGGGGGGTAACGTTCCTTAATTTCATTAGGGTCCCAAAGTAGGGTGCATGCTACTTGGAGCAGCTGGAAATCTTCCTTGTGATGGATGTGCTGAATCATAACCGAGCAGTGAGATCCAGGCAGAGAAAAGTGGACTCACTGCTGGTAAATGCGTATTGTTCCTGCGGTGCATACAGATCAGCTGGGTCAGTAAACAGCGTGCTGTGCAGGGCTACGGATATTTTAAGTTAAAAGAGGCACCTGTCGCTGCCGCTCGGAGCTTCGGTAATGTGCAGCACTATCTTTCTTTTTTCACCTGCAACAATGCGCGTTCCGAACTCTGTTCACACCGAGAAAAAGAGAGAAATTGTGAATCTCAAAACCCAGGATATTAATTAAAAAGAAAGGCAAGTTCGTGGATATCATAGTAGGTCTCACCTTTTGTCACCACTCCTCCTCTCAGAGTGCAACAGCATCACACACCTCACAGCAATGTCAACTGCAGCAGAGGTGTCTCAGTGAGATCATTAAACTGAGCTGCAGGGCTCGCAAAAGTGTCTGCGAATAACTTAAATTTTCTAAATTTAAACCCCGCTCTTCTTGTTGTTTTTTTAATGAAACATCACGTTTGTTTGTTGTTTTCTAGTTTGAAAAGTAGACATCAGAAAAAGCTTGAGGATAAATGCAATTGGTGCTGTTTGATAAAGTGCTGTACTGGAGCTAAGTGCACAAGAACGTTGATATGGAAAACAAAATCGATTCAGCCCAGAAAAGATGTGCAGCAACAGCACCGTCTTAATGTTATATGTTTGTCACACAGTCACACCAGGAGACACACAAGTGTCTATCACGGGGCGACAACATCCACAATTGAGCCTCTGTTTCATTCACCACACTCTGCATCGACTGCCAGATGCGCTTGTCGAGGACTTGAGGCCACTGCAGCTTCTTTCCCAGTAATGACATGAAGCTGTCACATGAAACTGTGTATTTCCTGGAGGAGGCGGGGGCGGGCCTCAGAGCTGTCATCTCAGACAGAATAGGCAAATATTTTATTCTTCTTCAGCAACAGGTTACTGATGCGATTTAAAAAAACACCAGATATGTGTCCTAGATAGTACTTTGACGCTTGGAGCTTGGCCAGCAGCAGCACAGCAAAGAGATCATGAGATATATATACATATATATACAGTATATATATATATATATATATATGGGCTGGGGGAGAGGAACTCCCGCTGACACCCGCCAGCAGTCCCTCGCGGCACTGCTTATAGCATGAAACAGTCAATGGTGTGGAGAAAGCAACGCCAACGGCACTCACAGTCCTCTGGGATGAAGGGGTTTCTGGCAGCGACAGGCATCATTGGATCATTTGCGAAATTCTCAATTTTTTTGGTTGGTCTGATTTCAGACCAACCAAAAATAACTCCCAGTGTGCACTCTGCGTGACCGTCACGTCCCCTCTGATGCTCCCAGAACCACAGCGCAGCTCGATCGGGATGCTAATTTAGTCCGTCACTAACACATCGGCATCGGAGGCATGGCTCGGTAATTTCCATTCACAATCACTGCTGCCATTGTGTGCGTTCCCTCCTCTCAGAAGCTGCAGCTCCGTGAGATGAGCTGTCATTGTCAATTTGACCGGATTTCAAGATGAGTTGGCCAATTACTCGTCTCTTTGGGTTTTATCAGGTTATTTTAAAGACTGAATGGGTTCAAACAGTTCTTCAGCTTGATGCATTTTTACCTCCAGGTATGGAAATATTGTGTTAAAGGGTAGCTTAGGTATTTTTCATGTTTCCCATGTTGTTGTGACTACTGGGGACAAAATGTTTTAATATTGGTCCAGTGCTGAAGGAGAACGCTGCAGACAGCTGCCATTAAACAGGCTGCAATGTAATCGCTCGGGGGCAACACCTCACTGTCAATGTACGTCCACTGTGTGCGTGTTTCTGCCACTGACAGGCTCAGATTGTTATTACAGGTATCTGACAACATTATGGGAAGAACCCTACAGATAAATAAAACCCTTTTCTTTAACTTTCACTTGATCCTCGAGTTTGCGTGGTGAAGTCTCTTTCGTAAAATCTCGTTGGGAAATCTTGCGTTGCATCCACATTGTGGAAATGAGCCGAATATTCAGCCACGACGTCGAAAATCTTCTGGATAAAACTAAGCTACGCTTTCTGTACTCCAACACAACAAACTCTGACAGCAGCAGCTCTCCTCTCTCTAACTCTCACTCACGTTTCCACCGTCACGTGACACAATGCTGTCCCCACGTGTCACTCAGACACAGAAATGTGAGAAAACATGGTCCAGGTTAAAAAAATGCCGAAGTTGCCCCTTTCAGCAAATCGTCCAAACGTTTTGAAGCAGGGCAAATCTTCCACTCGGAAGTTAGCGCATTTAATTAACACAAAAAATGCTGACGTAGTCTTTCCATTAACAATTTAACTTTCATCCGACTGTGATAAAATATGCAGTGAGAACGCTGTTGACAGGTGACAGAGCGGGGGAGGCAGAGAGTCTTGTTTTGAGGCTCCGAGTGATGGAGGAGGCTTGAAGCTCCGCGACGGTCTCTTCTGTCAGTGAAGCTGCACACCACTGCAGAACGGTGTTGTGAGGAAATGTGGAGATTTGATGGCAGCTAGTACAACATTAAAAGTGGATCTTGAGCTAATCCCAAACTCGGGTGCAATGAATAACACACTGTCATGTTGTCCTGTGGCCGTTGTTGCCCTGATAGCACTGCAGCTCTGAAAGCACTACACCACTATAGGACTACATCACACTCACATGAACCGGAACGCGGTGGGAGAGAATTCCTCCCGGCCTCAAGGTCTACAGGGAAATCAACACAATATCTCTTTCTGTGCCGCAGACGGTTGAACCGCCGTTTCGCGGAAGCTTAATGCGAGATGTTGTTGTTTAGGTCACCGAGTCAACGACGGTCTGTGGCACTCTGTGAGTCTCAACGCGAGCAATCAACAGATCACGTTGACCGTGGACAGTGAGCCGTCCTCCACCATCGAACTGTGGGAGCAACTGGAATCCAGAGGCAACTTCAACTTTGGAGGTTTGTGGATTCTCGCAGTGTGTTTGCAATAGTGGGGAGACTTCCCAGGAGAACAGGGTGAAACATGTTTTACTGCAGACATCGGCATGAATATTCCTCAGTCGATCACTTACAATAAGACAATCATTGTTTGTACTACGGGTTTTCTGAAGATGTACGTTCAAATATGCAAATTGGGCATTATCTCATTAAATAGATGCTTATTTGCATACATTTCAAGTCCAGCAATCTGAGCATTGGATAAAGCCAGAATTAAAATTCTTGTTTCATTGTGTTGACATATTAGAGTCAAAGGATTTTATAGAGGGAATTTTAGATATCTCTTTGTATCACCCCATAAATATAACAATACTGTCAACAGCAATAAAAAAAGCATTTTCGCCATGTTTTTTATGAATAAAATGTTGTATAAATGAGTCTGAATGCTGTGTGAACAAACCGCTCTGTGTTAACCTTCAGCACACAGAGAGGAATGAAAGAGTGAAGTTTGGTGAATGTAAGAGCTGCTGAAGTGGAGATTTATCATCAGAGTCTGAGAACAAACTCATTTAGAGGAAACGTCCTTTAAAGAGACGTTTAGTTCCATTACAGACATTTAGAGACTCTACAGGTGAACACATGACCTCACAGATATCACCATGAAACTTCACCACTTCATCACTCACATTAAGATGAGTATTTTTCTGTATTACAAGTTTTCAGAATTTTTATGTTTAAATATGCTAATACGTCATTATCTAGAAGTCTACAATATACTGCTAAATGTGTATGTTTTCCTTCCAATAGCCTGAAAGAAAACTAAATGGCCCCAAATCTCTAAATTGACCAGAGCATGAAAGGTTCACAGTGCTCGTACAGTAACAGGCTGCATCATGTGTCACCGCCCTCCAGGATGTCCCACAGCGGACTGTCAGAACCTGACTCCGGACTTCCAGGGATGTGTGCGGCTCATGTTCATCAACGGCCAGCCGATGGATCTCAATCGTGTTCAGCAAGGATTGCTGGGAAAATACAACGAGCTTCAGTTCGACACGTGCAACATCAGAGACAGGTAAAGTAGTTTGGACTTCTCATTTACACTTTCAGCTCCTCACAGTGATCTTACAGAAAACTTTCAACAGTCGAAAAATGTGTCAAACGTAAAAAATCTGTAAAACCTTATCCAAGTTGGCAACAGAGTCGTATTCATGCCCACATTGTTAATCTGTAGATAGAAGTGCGTTGCCTGCAGAGCTGACTGAAAGTCACTGACATCTTGTCCTAGAAATACAAACACGCTGACAAGATCATCCAATTAAACCGCAACGAAAACTTTGCAACACCTTTTCTGGCGGAGGACTATGCTAACAAGCTGCTCCCTGCTGTCCTGTGTGGCATCCCTCCCTATCCCTACCCCTCATTACCCTGCACAGCTGTGTGGCCCTATGAATAGGATTGGCAGACCTACGAGCTCCACACATGTCTGCGTGTGCCTTGAAACACGTATGGGAACGAGACAAACATGCAAACTGCAGGTTCTTCCCTTGTGTTTGCCCCGAGGTGAATCTCTCCTTTGTCAAAGTAGCTGCTTTCTAGTCCAGATTGTTCGCTGTCAGAAGATATGCAAACACAACAGGGCTGCCAGTCTGTTGAATCAGCAGGCGAAGGGATGCACTGCAGGAAATGACAGAACAATGGTATGAGACGTTTTTCTGCTCCCGGGCTGAGACATAAATCTTTAGTGGTTCCTTCTAAGGGCCCGATCACACAGAGGCGGGGCCGCTTCAAAAATGAAAATGCCCCAAAGCGAGTCGGGCAAAACGGCTGATGAGCCAGTGGAGCGGGTGGGGGGAGCACATCCAGGAGATCAGATGTAAATAACGGGGAATAAATGGATTCAATGCACACATCGAGCACTTGCTGTCTCATAGACTGTACATAAGAAGTGGATGTAGTCATCGTGAAGTCACCCATTGGTTTGTGGACGGCCATTTTGAAGCCTTGAGTTCAGGCGATTTCGCCGTCGCCATCTTGGCTTTTTTTCAACCAGTGAGCCGAAGTTACCATATTTGGAATGTGGAGGAGTGACGTAGAGACTCTGGTAGAGACCTGTCAATCACAGTAAGCCCCGCCCTAAAGCATCCCCTGCTTTATGGTCTGTGTGACTCTAAATGGACCATAATGTACTAAATGAACATCATGCTGTATTGAAGAAGACTTGAAACTAGAGATTGAGACCATAAACTCATGTTTACAATGTTTACTGAGGTAATAAATCAAGAGAGAAGTAGAGTCATTTTCTCATAGACTTCTATACAACCAGAGGAGTCGCCCCCTGGTGGACACTAGAGAGAATGCACGTTTTAAGACACGTGTGGAGAAGAGGATAAATTATATAGTAGATCGCATCTAAGTGTTTCTTTTTTTTTCTAAATATGTTATCTATTGATGGATGACTGTGAAAGGGGTGTGTATTTTGGTGATTTTTGAAGAGTGCAACAAATAATAATAATAGCAAATTTCATAATAACTATTTATACAGCACCTTTAAAAACAGAGTTTACAGAGTGCTTTGACAGACAAGGAAAGGCAATACAACAGAATGCTCAACAGTGAGGCTCGACTAAAGCGAGACAAATTTAAACCCTGACAGTTCAATAAAACCAATAACATAATAATCAGAGCTGTGAAGCAGTAAAAAATATGTTTATGATTATGTTTGATTTTAGATTAACCTGTAATTGTGTGTCTACTCATCAAAACTGACACAACTCAGAGACGGTTGATTTAGCTAACGCACAAAAGCTGAAATTAGGTCGGAGACAAACTCGAGTGAAAAATAAACCAGTGAAAAGACAATTCAGGCACGGAAAGTTTGTGACGCACCCTAAAAGTGAAACAAGCCATGCATTATGCAGCAGATGTTTATACAGCAGCAACAAAGAAACTGCAGAGCTAAAATTGAATTTGTGTTTGGGTGACATTATCCACTCTTTTCTTTTTTCGGCGTGCATCGATGTCTTCTGCATCCTGCGCTGTAATCTGCTGTGAGGATGTGACACGTGAGGCGGCTGCTCCTCAGCTTTGTGACTGTTAATCGCACCGATGTTGTCTTTCCTTTCACTCTCCGCGGCCGACTCAACGACCCCGGAGTGTGAGAAAATTAACTTTTATCGCAGTTAATCTCCTTTGTGCGTAATTAAACATTGTGACTCAATTTATGGTCAGTGTGCACTTAGGTGTGCTGGCTACTGTAATTCCACGACCTGTAAGGGCGCAGAACACAACAGAAAATAGCATGATGGTAATTAAACCAACGGCTGCAACCTTACCCGCGTTGCGGCGGGCCCCGCTCCGCTGCAGTTAATAGGTGAGAGATGAAAGTGTATGAAATTATAGATGCACGCTCGAAAAGGCTGGCAATTATGTGAAACTGAAGGAGGCTCGAGGAAGGGACGATTAATCAGAAGAGTGCGGTTTGAAATTTCTGTGAAGCACTCATTGTTGTAAAATCCCATTAACAGGCATTCTAGTCTGAAGGTGACAGCGAGGCTCTTATTTTTAGAGAAACGCTGCGATCCGTCAGCTTCTTCAAATGCAAACAAGGGCGCAGTGTGAGACGCCATCGTTTCACAGTCCTTTGGGAATTTTAATGAAACATGAGTAAACAGCAAATTAGTCTTTCGGGTGAGTTCCAAAGCTTGTGCTCATAATTGCAAACAAAAGAATAAAGGGAACGGGGAGAAGAGGTCTTTCTTAACTGGTAAATAAAAGATCAGGTTTGCAAACACCAACAAAGGAAGTCGCTTTATTGGAGCCTCATACAAATCCCTGAGGGGTTTGTATGATCTTTTGTTCTGGCTGTCTAATTGTTGTGCTGCTCCTAATAGCTATATTTGTTGTGAAAGTCTAAAAAATGCTGGAAAATTGGTAAACTTTTAAGGTAAAAATGTATCGGTAGTAAACTGGAGCTCAATAATCTGATTAGTCTACAGACAGGAACGTGTTAAATATCAGAAGCTGTTTGGATGATAAATTCTCTGGTTTCAGCTTTTTAAATGTGCTACTTTGTTTTATGTTGTAATTCATTGCATGTTCAACTGTTGGTTAGTGGATGTAAATGTACTTTACAATTTTGAGGTACTTTTACTTTACTCTCATTTTATGCTACTTAATACTCCATACACCTTTTTTTAAAATGGTGCAATATGGTGCATTCTGCAGGAAAAGGCACCAGTTTATGCATGAAAAGCATAAAATAAAACACTTTGCCTTCATAAAGTACCCTACCAGTGATAAAGGAGTCCTATTTCTCTCCTTACTGAACCAGAAACTTGTACGCATTTAAACTATCCAACTAATAATTCACTTTAGACGGCTCCAGTGAACTGAATTCTTACAATCCTGCGGTATCTTGCTGGTTTAATGTCATGTCCGCAATCTGTAGACGAATCCAACCCGTTACAGCGTCCACACAGGAAGGTAAACAACACTATCTAGATATCAGCTAGCTACCTACACTAGCGGCTCCACGGGCTGGGGTGACGCATGCGAGCACAGCAGGACGCAAGGTCAACAAATGGTATGGTCCATTCTAGGGGTGTCTGAAATTACATAAGATTCTTCCAAGCATGAATATGGGGAATTATTGTAATATTTATGATTACAGGTAAGAAGGATGTATAAATGGGGTATTGTTTTAACTCTTTTGGGGGGCGTCCAGGTCTTAATTAGGAGGGTCCTTAATTTGAAACAAGGTGGAACTCACACATTAATGTAACAATAATTATAATACAGTCATATGATATGTATTATTTTCAAATGAGTCACTAAAGTAGTGAAGATAACCTCCTGATATTATTGTGTAAATCCTTCTTTTCTTCAGATGCCTTCCTAACCTGTGTGAACACGGCGCCCGCTGCTCTCAGACGTGGAGCTCCTTCTCCTGCGACTGTTCAGGAACAGGATATTCCGGAGCTACCTGTCACAACTGTAAGCACTTCTTTGCACTTTCGTTTTATTCGCCTCGTCTCAACCCCCCCCCCCCCCCCGTACATCCTAGGTCTACTGAGCTGTGTCATTTGATTCAGCACACACATCTTTACCTGTCTTGCTCATTGCGCTCTTCGATTTGTGCCACTGAGAGGCGAAGCAGAAACCGGTCTCGCTTCAACCTGACACGACCTTACAAACATCGCCGCTATTCTCACTTTCAAATTCCTGAGAATGATTTTTTTATTTTTTTTGCTATTTCCTTAAAATAGCTTATGACTGACTTCAAATTGACTCTACGTGCAGGAAGTTTCTACTTACGGCTGTGGTATTTTCTGACGCTCTGCAGCAGCGCCTTGATATTTGCTGTGGAGACGGCTGTGTGAGCCTCCCCTGCCCCAGAATCCTGATTTCCTGTTTGTATGCAGACAAACCCGGTTGTCTTTGCATGTCAGAGGGAACATGACAGATAAGAACATCTGCTGGATTTCAAATAGGTTTTCAACTCAACAGTAAAAAAGAAATCAACCCAAAAAACACATAAAATCAACATTTTCCTTGAGCTCTTGAGCTCAAACTTACATCTATAACTTGAGTATTTTTAACAGATTATTAAAAGACGTTGTAGTAACAATTCTAATTTGCATGTGAATAACTTGTGAACAGTTCGTAAATAAAGATAGATGTTGTGTAGTCAGATGACTCAGACAGGAGACAGCTGTTGGAGAGTGGGCTGATTCTTGGAAAAATAACTGTCGCCTTTCTGCTTCTTCCAGCCATCTACGAGTCGTCTTGCGAGGCCTACAAGCTGATTGGCAGCTCCTCTGGCTTCTACTCCATTGATCCAGATGGGAGTGGTCCCCTGGGGCCCACGCAGGTATACTGCAACATGACAGGTAAGATCATTGTAATTCACTTGTTGTCACCTTTACCCTTTTTGAGTTCCTCTTGAGAACTGGCTGAAAGCTCAGGGTAAAGAGTCCACTCACTTAGAGATTGCATTGTAATCGATCCGTACCACCACGGCAATCTGACAGTTTACCATCCAGTAAGAAATCATTACGGCCACTCATGCTGCTCCCTGAGAGTCGAGAACATATCTATTGGGGAGTACATCTCTTTTGTAAATGTCTATTTGCTTCGGTTAAAACTAACCCCATTTGGGCTGGTGTTCTGTAAAAGGTGTGTCAATCAAACCCTGTTGCAGACCCGTGGATGGATTGCTGAACAGGACCGCTGGGTTTAAGGCCTGGGACCCAAAGTGTCAGGGTCTCTCAAAGAGACACGTATGAACCAGAAAGAAATTCAAAAATGACCACAAAGAAACATAACATGACTACAAAGAGACACAAAACAGCTGCAAAGAGACACAAAGAGACCATAATGACTATACAAAGGAGCAAAGCAACCACAGAGACACAAATGACTTCAAAGAGATCAAAACAAGAACAAGGAGACACAAAACAGCTGCAAAAAGAATCACAACGTCTACAATAAGGGGCAAAACAACCACAAAGAGACACAAAATGACAAAAATCAGACCAAAGCAACTACAAAGAGACAAAAATAATTACAATGTCTAAAAAAGGGGGAAAAACAACCACAAAGAGACGGAAAATGATAACAAACAGACCAAAGCAACTACAAAGAGATGCAAAACAGCTGCAAAGAGACACACAACTACTTAGAAAAGTGGCAAAAACAAGCCCAAAGAAAGACAGAAAACAACACAAAGAGTCTCTTGCTGCTGTGTAGGGGAGGCGGTGGGGCTCTTAGCATATCTGTGCCCAGGAGCTCACTGTCTCATAATCTGCTCGTGTTTGGACCAAATAACCGAAGGGTCTGGATCGGCGTCCAAGTGAACTCTGATGCGGTTTGTTTTTTGCTGTTGTTTACATTCCTCCCGAAGCAAATAAAAAAAAAAGCATTGCAGGAACGCACGACTGTTTTTGTTTTTGTCTTGTTTTTAATGTTCAGCTGCATTTTGCTGTGCATCCCCGTGTTGCTAAAAATGTAAAGCAAACTAACTACGATGTGTTTTATTTTATAAGCGAAAGCTTAATTATTAAATCCGTCTGCTGATTGTGAGCTGTTCTGGAAGCGAGCCTGTAATCAATCCGTATAAGCCACACATATATATATTTATGTACATAACCATGGTAACACGTATGCGCTTCAGCTTGTGAGCGAGGGCGGGGGGGTAGGGGAGATTTCCATTAGGTCCATTCAACTGTAAGTGAGGAAATCTGCTCAAGACGCCTCTTTCGTTGTCGTGTCTCTGTCATTATTCATAGCTTGCGGTCCATTTGCCGTCTAATAACACCACTTATGTTTATTATATATTTCTGCATGAGCTCTTTAAGACACCAGAGAAGGTACAGTAAATATACACACCAGGAGCATTAAAGTGCTGCATGGCCTGCTGTCAGTCATCGGAGTTTATTCTGTCTGTAACTAAAAGAGAAAAGCATATAGATGACAGTAGATTACAGTGCGATGATAACTTGTGCTTTTCAGGTTTCACTGAAGTCATCCGAGCGTCACCATTTAACAAGCTAAACTAGGCTAGTGGCCTCTGGAGGCTGCAGGTCTCATGAAAGCGTTGGGTCATTAAAGTCAGAATTATTCCCTGTGGGAGCGCTAATCTGCTCAGTACATTTCATGGTGGTCTGCTATTAAATTATGTGATTTATTTTGTGTAAGACTGACAGTTTTAAATGAGGGGGGGGGGCTGTCGAAGGTGTCCAAGATGGAAAAATATATTTCCCAATAAATTCCACTGCAATCTGCCCCTTAGATTTCCGTGTACATTTGTTGGACCTGATTATGATGCAAAAGCCGGGATTGAAGATTTTCTTATTGTTATTGTTTTTTTGTTATCTTTTAGTGTTTTAGGCTTAATGACTTGTTGTTTTGTGACGTCATCTGGGGACCATGAATATCCACATGCTCAATTTCTTTATTGACTTATGAAATATGTCCTGGTATTTATGTGTTGCTCGAGGAGAAACGGTTCGGCCTCTTTATGTCCCTTAGACTGTCTGACCTTGACTATACTTACTGCAAAGTTTGTCATGAGAGAGATGTTTTCACATTCTTCCAATGAAGAATTCTAATGTGCACTTTCTTAGAATCTGAGATTCAAACGTACGCTAGATCAAATCGTCACAAATGTGCCGTCTAGTACGCAAACGCAGACACATATTCACACGGTCAACCTGAAACCTCCAGCGCAGAGCAGACTTGTCACTACAGAACACTGAAGTTAGCATTAGCATCGTGACAGATCTGACAGTGAACACGGTAGAGTGTGCAGTTTTGGGACGTAAACCAGAACCTGTAGCTTCCTTTCACTATCGACCAAAACATACCACAGTAGGCCTTCATATTATTGTGTGTTTCACAACCGCTAAAATTGTGTCAGCCACTGCCAGTGACAAGCTAACAAGCTAACAAACAACATAAACAATTAAAATATGCTGGCGTGTCTGCTAGTTGCTGATTTGGGTAAACAAAGGACTCCTCGTCTGAATCAAACATGCAGGGCTGAATCTCTCCAATGTTTGACCAGAGGCCCGAAAACTAAAAACGAATTTCTACATTTCACGTGGGGGAAAACCATGTTCAGCAAAAAATAGCCTGGAGGGGGACTTTAAGAGCGAGGAGTCAATAAAATCGTTACAAAACACGCACAAATATCCACACTGAATGTCACGGTAATCAGTTTACAGTCCCATCTGACCTTTAATTATTTTCAGCATGTAATTACTGTAGTGTAATTGGGCAGGCCTGTCGGATTTATGTCTCCGGTCTGAATTTGGAAACCTGGACCTTCCGTTGCATCGCCCCATCAGAGCCGCTGTATTCAGCGTGATCTTTCGATGGTGAGGACACAGTGTGCTCCGCTTCACCTGAACGATCACCGGAGACGTGACATTTGACGGACAGGGAGCCGGACACATCCTGATGTGCGGCTCTCATGACATGTAGGACAAAACGCATTGAGATAAGTTTTGACACTGTGGAGACAGTGTTCATCACGGGGCTGTCACAGCTTCCTCGGCTACACTTTGTCCTTCTTGCAAGGTTAATGTACCGGTGACGTTACAGGGGGGAGAGCCATATCCCCCGCTGTCTGGTTCTGGCATTTTGTGTGCTTCACAAAGCTGAATCGTTCAGCAGCATATATGCCTCTACTTGACCTCAATTAAGGAATCCATAAGAAATGTAAATAGCTCTAAACCTAACAACCTGATGTGAATAATCACAAAGTGGAGAGGGATTTTCTCCGAGGCAGAGTAAACATGGAATCCAGATAATGAAAACCGAGCTGGGATGGTAATGGGATGGATTCCTCGTCTGATTTTATTGTACAAACTCTTGACTCCTTCTCATACTGTATAAGCAGCAAATGCAGATTACTGGCAATGATTTCTTCTACTTGTGGGAGGTTTATATTCAGGATGAAGGTTTTAGGATCATACTGTGTCGCTTGGAAACAAGCGCGTTCAATGTTTTTTTTGGATTTGTGAAATGTCACCACTAACACCGGTGGTTCATGTTAACGCCTCTTTTTTTTTTAGAGTAAAACTTGCGGTTCCAGGCCAACAGATTTCTATTTTTTCTCTCTTCCAGAGGAGAAAGTGTGGACGGTGTTGGAGCACAACAGCACGGCTCCGGTCACGGTGCAGGGCTCCTCTCTTCACAAACCCCACATCATGAGGTTCAACTACGGCGCCGCGGCTGAGCAGCTCCGCGCCGTCGTGACGGGGTCGGAGCAGTGCCAGCAGGAAGTGGTTTACAACTGCAAGAAGTCCCGTCTCTTTAATACTAAAGGTCAGTGTCATTTTCCTCTTGCTTGAGCTGAGATCAAATCAATGTTTTATGCCAATAAATGATTGAATTGTGTGTGGCTGCATTAAATCCCGTCGGGTCTTGTATGATAGGCCGGGTTACCTGGTCTCTTTTACATATACTGTATTTGGTACCAAGCGATAATGTAACAGTAACACACGGACACGGGATTAGATCTGAACATGTGTTTTTTTATTTCACTTAAAACAGCTGAGACCGAGCAGAGAAACCAGGTGGTTGGTCCTAACCTTGACCACATGTTGGCTGTTATACACACTTTTTCTGTTTATCATATCAAAGAAGAAGGAAGAAGGGATTTTGCTGCTTTTGGAGACAGATTTAAATCTGCAGATGCAGCCGGTTTAGTGGGTGTTCAGACTGAAACCAGCCCTGCATTTAAAAATGAAAAAAAAACTGCAAAGGCTTGCGTTGGTGGAAGCGTCTGGTGAGACATGAAATGCGATCCAGGAAGTCTACATGTAGTTTGAGTAACAGATCAATGCGCTCGAAGGCTTATCAGACGCCGAACCACTCCACAGCCATTTATAATACTGTGAGGCAGGATTCTTTCAGTAGAAATAATCGTTTTTATTGAGTTGTGTTCTTGCTAGAGCTGTCAACGATATACATTTGAATATATATGTATTTGAGTTGTTGAAAAGTTATATTTTATTGTGAAAAAAAGCAGCACTATCATGCTGCTTGCCTTGTGGGTTCTTGCATGGGCCTAAGACAATTATTTTTTTGTATTACAAGTTTTCTGAAATTCTATGTTTTGATATGCAAATGAGGCATTCTCTTATAAACATGTGATAATTTGCGTACATTTCCAGAACAGAAATCGAAACATTGGATACAGCCAGGTTCAACATTATTGCTTCATTTTATTGTCATATTAGAGTCGAGGGTTTTTACTGAGGGAATTTGGGATGTGTCGTTTTATCACTCCATAAATCAGAAAATACTGTCAACAATTTAAACAAAATTCAATTTGCCATGTTTTTCAGAATACAATGTCGTATAAATCAGACTCTGAATGATGTATGAACAAACCCCTCAGTAAAAACCTTCAAATGAGGCTTTATCTAATCGTAACTTTTTGTGAATTAAGGAGAAATCTACAGACACAAATAGACAAAGTAGTAATAGATAAACAACTAAATGTGTATTTTGGATGTTTTCTTTCCACTAGTCTGAAAGAAGTCATTAATGGAAGCAAAACAGCCTGAAATCTCTAAAATGACCACTGCATGAAGCAATGTTTCCCTGAAGTGTCTCCCTCTGAGTGAGCCCGGGCCAAAGCTGTCAAAGCTGAATTCGGGGCTAATACCCTTCTCTTTAGTTAGCAGGTGGCAAGCAAGACACAGGAACTTGGCGTAGGTCTTGATGAGTAAATAAACTGTGCACGCACTGCACTGCTGAGCTTTAACGATACTGATAACTTCACAGTCACACGCTCACTAACATTGAGTCACTCCCTGAAAGAGTTTGCTTTAAGAAAATTAGTCTAAAAAAACATCTTGAAAATACATTTAAAAATAAAAATCCCAGATGTTTAGGCCGGGGCTTTCAGTACATTGTCAGAATCCTTCTCTGTCTTTCATCCTATTGGTTTGCCATTTTTCGGCCATAATGTGCAAAAATAGATATTCAAATAGTTTCAACACACGCAATTTTTTCAAAGGAATAAACACATTTTTGGCCAGTTTAGACAGCCTTATCGCTTGCACATATTTGATTGGCCACTGCAGCCAGATGATGATGCATCCCTACGTGTTTATGCCCGAGGCTTCTGCATTGGCACCCCTACTGCGTCGCCCCTTTCGAATAAATAAGGGTGCTGTGTTTTGTTTTTAGGGGGACTCGAGTTGATCTGAACGTGACCTTAGTGAGACAAGTTGTTCTGTACTTTGCAGCATCAGGGGACTGTTTGTTGTTACGTTGTGAATTGCAAGTCAGGCTGCCTGTGCTTTGTCGCATTGGGAGCTGCTGCACCTGCACACCCTGCCTTCTGCTTCACTCTCCTTGTAACATTTTTGCAATAACCAGAGAGGTGGTCTCCAATCTCTTTTTTTGTGTGCATCCATCTTGAACTGCTCCGGCGCCTCCGGTGTCCCCTAAACATCCAAACATTTGCTCTTAAATCATGAAACATTCATGAAGTCCCAGATTCCCCGTTCTCTGGGTTCCATGCGTGCACAAACAAACAAGTCCATTATCACACCAGACATCAAAGAGAGACAGGACGCGGTCTATTTCATAGCTGCCACAACACGTTCAGAAAGAGTCTGAATTTGTTGTTGTTTGTTTTTTGAGCATAGAAGGTCAAATGTCTCTTTTAGCTCTTCACTTTGCAGAGCGGTTAGACACAAACTTACAGGGAAAACAACAACAACAGGAGATGTTCGAAGCTGTCAACCGGATTTATAGATGCATTCATTTGCCAAGAGTTAAGCTGTATAACATCCTTCCTGTCTTTAGTGTTAACTTAAAAGTCATTCAATGTCCTTGTAATGATGTTCATCTGTGGTCTTATTTCCACTGTTTTTCCTTATTCCATACACATGTTGAGTTAAAGGGGATATGTCATGCTCATTTTAAGGTTAATACTTGAATTTGGAGTTTCTACTTGAACATGTTTACATGCTTTTATGTTTCAAAAACACATTATTTCTCTCATAATATCAGTCTGATTACGCCTGTATTCACCATCTGTCTGAAATGCTCCGTTTTAGCGCCTGTCTCTTTAAGAGTCTGCTCTGATTGCCTTGCGAGAAAAATATAGTGGTCTAATGAGCCTGCATGTGACATACAGGAAGGGGGGCCACATCTATAATGGTTTGTTGAACCACATGTCTTCTGATCTAAGCAGCCCACAAAGAGCTGACTCGGTCGCCTTATTTCACAGCTTGTGGGTTAGTAGGAACTACAGATGCCAACATGTATGAGCACAAGCACTGAAAAATTGAGTTTTTTTAATGATATGTTCCCTTTAAGTGTGCTGAGAGGTAACTCTTGCTTGTTGTTTCCACATTCCTACTCATACATGTTTTAAATTTTGAAGTTCATCCACCTGACTGGTCTGGCTGGTTGTGTTCAAATCGTACATTGGCGAGTTTGTCTCGTTAAAGAAAGATCTGTGGTAGAGACAGGCTGCAACATGCAGATGTTGACATGTGTCTTGTATTTTTGTTTTCTTCATCAAAGAAAGCATTTGTACAGTAGCGCGTAGGAACATGCTCTTAGTTGTTTGTTTGATTGATGCAATACCAACAACTAGCTCTTGTTCTGTGTTTAAATGCCACCACCAGAATCTCAATTTACCATTTCAACCGCGGCTTGTCTGTGTATTCCTTTAGCCACATTTGCTCTTTGTGCGCAGCTCTTTTGTATCGTGGGTGAAACAGTCATTGCAGACACTCGTGGCTGCTTGTGGGGGATTTATGCTGGGGAAGCACCAATAAATGTCTATGTATTTATTTGTAAAAACATTTTTAACAAGCTATTAAAGTCAAGCAACTCAAGCCTGATGTTGCCTTGAACGTTAAATAATAATCCCAGTCCCTCGCCGCACAGTGAGGCAGGCAGCTTATTAGTTAAACACTGGCATCGGATCGGTACTCGGTATCGGCTGATACCCAAAGCCAAGGTGTCGGTATCGGAGATGAAAAAAGACAGATCGATTCGTACCTGCTTCAAAGCAGTTGTCAAAATTTTTATTTCCATTATTCTCAGGAAAGGAGGGAGTGAGATGCATTTGCTTTGCTTGCTGTGAACAAGTCCTGACAATATCCATCCAATTTGAGGGAGAGAGTGACGCTCACTCCCCCTTCAGGAAGATATTGATTTTCTTATTCGTGTACCTGTTCGGTGTCTGAGTAGTGTTTTAAAACAAGCAGCAGAATAGGAGGGAAAACGATGCAGTGAGCGCAGGGACGGGCAGATTAAAGACAAGAGAGTATTATTTTGATTTATTATTTTCAACCTTTTGTAATGCAAATGTTGGCTTGCTGGCCAGCGTTGTTCTAGCCCACATTATTTCCTGTCTTCATCTCTCTCACCATTGCATATCGCATCCTTAGCCCATCAGATCCTGTTTGGAGAAGATTTCCACGGAGCGTTATCTCCACACGGAGGGTGAATTAATGAAGATGGGGCGTTCTGTGCTGCATCAGTCGAATATGACATGTGTATCCACACATATAAACCCATGCGGCTGTAATGCATGCTGGGTAGGACAAAAGCATCGTAGCATGTGACACTTGATTATGTATTGTGACATGTAGCTTAATGGGCTTTTCCTCGTCGACCCGCCTCATCTCCAATGCACGTTGTGTGACAGATGATTGAGGCTGGACCACTTAACCTCTCAGTGGAGGCAATGAGTTATGCCTTTAATGTACGGCTTCGCCTCACTGACACACAGACAACGTGTCATAGAACGCCAGCAGAGAATCAAAACAAATACATTCAGACAATGGGGAAGATAACCAATTTGGTTTGATTACCAAAAAACGTTTGTTTATTTAACAGGGACCATACAGATTAACACTGTCACATACAGTCAAGCAATGCAACAGATGTGAAGTCTTTTGAGCATCATGTCTCTGAGGCTTTTAAATGTACAACAGCCAAGTCGAGTTGATAAAACTATGAATGTATTATATCCTTTATATTGCTCCAAAGCAAACAAATAGAGGGAATTAAGTGTGCTTAAAAAACTTGATCTGTTGACTAAAGGCCAAAGTGGTCTAATTATCAAAAAACCTGTCTTTTTTTATCTTAATTCCCTTCATTATTATAACGTGTAGCGGCTGGAGTGCGTGTGCAGCAGAGGAAGGAGGACTCAGATCCATGAAGGTCGAGGCAGACAGGGACAGTCCAATGATTTAGTGTGAATAGCTTACAGGTGACAGGCAACAAAAACTCCACACGGCAGCGATGATGAACCGACAAAGGAAGTACAAGACTGGTTTAAGTAGCGAGTTGAATGATGAGGGGCCTGAGAAACAGGTGAGCAGGTGAATTAGCAGGTCGGGTGACTGCAGGGCCCATGAGGGAAGTTACTACTGTATGTGAGAAGTGGACCACGCTGGGTTCAATGATTCAATAGGATCATTTATCATCTTTTGATGCAATGACCTCTTGATTGAATCAGATATCGAGATATTGTGATACACAATTAAGTCGTCTAAACTAAAATTTCTCAGAAAAACTGATTTTTACATTTTCATTTCTCAAGTGTTTGATTCAGACAAGAATATACAAAACCATGTGGTTCCTTCATATAGTTTTTTGTGAATTACCAGAAAACACGAAATATTGTGATATACTGTATATCGTAAACAAGATATGAAATGACCTATATATGGATCAAAGATAATGGCCATATCGCCCAGGCCCTTGGACATCATCATAATCCATTTGTTTGTGGACGGATGCGTTGAAGCCTTGATCTCACCATCTTGTTTTTTTGGAACCAGAAGTGACACAAGAGGGTGGAGCTAAATACAACCGAACGCTGAGTCATCTGAGACATTTTTAAGCGACCGAAACATTACAATAAACTTAAATGAACTGAAAACACACTGTGAAAGTTTCAAGACGAATACACTGACTGTCCATCAAGAAGAAGACGTGAAACTAGAGATTGAGACCATAAACTCATGTTTACAATGTTTACTGAGGTAATAAATCAAGAGAGAAGTAGAGTCATTTTCTCATAGACTTCTATACAACCAGAGGAGTCGCCCCCTGGTGGACACTAGAGAGAATGCAGCTTTAACACATGAAGCTTTGACTCCGTGTTTCAGACCCGCAGGTTGTTTGAACACGTAGGCGTATAATAGAGTTCATGAATCGGGTGAAAGAGTCTGAGGCCATTTGGAGGACTGGTAGTCAACAGCAACAGTCTCTGAGGAGGATGTGGCTGAAGACGAGGGACAATAATATCTCATATTATTGAAGCCTCTCTGCACGGCTGCCTCTGATTTCTGCCGCATGCTTATCTAGACATTTTTAATTAGTTTGATGTCATTTTGTATCTTTTTTTTTTTCCAGTGCCACTTCCATGTTTTAACATTTTGAGATAAAGCCATGGAAGCGAAACAATGCAATCCTCCAAATATAACCCATGACCGTGACCTACTCGAGCTCCAGTCAGTGACCACAGCAGGCCGCTGCCGCGGTCTCTGACTGTCCGCTGTTTTGTTCCAGACGGCAGTCCGCTAACCTGGTGGCTGGACCGGGAGGGAGAGAAGCGGAGCTACTGGGGAGGCTTCCTGCCCGGAGTTCAGCAGTGCTCCTGCAGCCTGGAGGAGAACTGCGTGGACATGAACTACTTCTGCAACTGTGATGCTGACACTGACGCATGGTATACAAAGCACACACATTTCTAGTCCAGGGGGAGTGTTTTCTTTCCTTTTCTTGCTAAATATATTTAGTTTAAAGAGGTGCTTTGTATTATTTTTTCAACCCAATTTATTTTATGATGTTTTTGGATCCATATTGCTGCAGCAATGTGTATATTGTAGCTGCAGTATTTATTTATTTATTAATTAATCAATCTTAAAAGTGGGCACATGGAGTTTTTGGGTATAGAACACTGATAGCAGAATATGGATACACTTAAGTAAAGTACAAGTACCTCGACTTTGTACTTAAAGTGTAATACTTAGGTAGATCTACTTAGTTACATTCCACCACTGCCACAAACTACATCCTCGCCAGTGATCCTACAGATGACCCGACACTTCTCTAAACCAACATTACGTTACGTAAATGACGTTACAGCCTTCATGAAGGGAGGAGTTATTGATTTATAGCACAACTGTTTCATTAGACCACATTAGTGTTCCTAATAAATTGACGACTAAGTGTTCCATAGGAGATCTAAATATAAGATTCCAAATATGAATCAAAAAAACTAATTAATATCAGTGATATTAATCAATCTGTGGTTTATTCATGAACTACTGTACAACCCTCCACATAAAAGCTACTTATGATTAATTAATCAATTCATCTATTAAGCATTAAACAAATCAATTCAGAGAGAATATTTCTAAATCACTGAACCCTCTCACAGAGACAGAGCACCAGGAATCTGTACAGTGTTTTCCTGCAGTTCATTCACAGAGATTCACTCACAATTCCTCCAACAATTGAATCTCCAGAATGATTAATTGCTGCTCGTACATACAATCACGGTCAATCTAATAAGACTTTTTAAGCACTGAAGGCTGCATTATGGTTTTGTTGTGTTGGATGCTCTGAATGTCTTTGTTTACCGTACGTTAATCCACTGCAAAGCCGTCTCTCGATTCAGCTCAGTTTGCATATTTCCAGAGGCAGTTGTCTGCATTGTGATAGATTGCTCCCTTTTTTAATGTGTTTACTCTGCGTTCTGTGCTAATGCAGAAGAATGGAAGCCTTTATCTGGACCTCCCATAAAGGCATCTACCCCGAGGGCACTGTGTTGCCATTTATTTATTTCTCTTTTTTTGTGTGTGTGTGTGCCACAGGGCTAATGACACGGGAATCCTCTCCTATAAAGACCACCTGCCAGTGAGCCAGATAGTGATCGGAGACACCAACAGGACGGGCTCTCAGGCCGTCTACCACGTCGGCCCTCTGCGGTGTTATGGAGACAGTAGGTGATCACCTCAGTGTTGGAGCTGCTGTGCCGGATTTGGTTGCAGATGGAGGCCTTGATTCCCAGGCTTAGGGTTGACCAAGCTCAGATGATGTCCTTATGCCTCACGTGTTTATCCACGGATAGACAGTTCAAGTTAATCTGTTCCGTTACAAGTCGGACAACTGGCTGTGTTGACTGTAACCTCATAAAATCGGATTCTCAAACTCCTGTTTTGCAGCCAAGCAGGGGGGGTGCCAAAATGTGGGGCAACACGGCAGGGGGGGGGGGGGGGAGGCAGAGCTGGACAGCAGCACTGGAACATGAAAGAGGTTGTAGATATTTATTACTTCATGTCCCACAGTGAGCTGTGGACAAAGGGCAGGGAATTTTTAGAAGCTCATCTGCAGTCAAATGAAGTCCAGACCTCCCGTGGTGTTATTTTATATACAACGCTTCCAAAAGCAATCAAATATGTCTTTAATTCTCCACGAGAGATCTAGAATATTTCCAGAATATGTTCTTATTTCCTGCACAATCACTACACATTATAATGAATATGCAAATGAATGATATGAAAAATAATTGTATGTCAAACTAGGGCTGCACAATTATTCCAATATTAACTGCAATCCCGATTTCAGCTTCACACAATTAGATGAACATGATCGACTGATATTGACCTTTAAAATGCGTTTTAACGGTCGATATCGATCCAGATGTCATGCCACTGCCTGCACTCCCTACAGCGATACACCGTGTTACACCAGAGTAGAACAGTTTTATACTGTATATTATGTTGTGAGAGCAAACGGGCAGTGCTTTTTATTTAAATGTGAAAGCGCAATAAACATATTTTACCCCTAAAATCAATTAATGATCGTGATAAATAATTGGATCTCAATATTCATCAAAATAATCGGGATTGTCATTTTGGCCGTAATTGTACAGCCCTCTGTCAAACTCTGCTAACAGAAGCATTTCGTTTCTAGACAATTTTAGGTTACTACCTTGAAATTGTCCTTTCTTGCTTTAAAGGCGCTACATTTGATATTCAGAGCTTATGTATAGCTCTGTTAGTGCTCACAGCGCTAACATAGCTCACAGCGCTAACAGAGCTCACAGCGC